CCAAGGCCCGGCCCAGGCCAGGATAAGGCTGCTGGAGGATCTCCGCCATTCATTCTCCGTTGTCAAAACCAGGTTGGCCAACTTGGAGGTTTCTTAATTTTTTTCCCGCTAGTTGGGGATAACAATATAATTGAGACAAGCCAGAGAGAGCTTGAGGATCGAGGAATTTTGACAAATGAAAATTAAATATGCCCGCCCCGACGGTCCATTCGGACCATTTGTTGGCGAAGACAGCGCCGGCCAGCTCCGGGAGCGCCGAGCAGCCCAGCCTCAGGCCCTGACGGTGTCGACGGTGTTCGCGAAGGGGAGAGATCCATATGCCTGTTCCGTTTAGCCGTGGCTTTGCAGGGCGCATGGCACTAGCTAGGCCCGATGCCTGGATGGGCAAGCTGACGAGCAGTTTCAGCCTCGAACTTGCTTCTCCGAGGGAGAAGATTCGGGCGTCTGCGCGTTCCCGTGGTTAGCTGATTGATTGATTGATTGATTGATTGCTTGCTTGCGAGCGAACAGAAGGAAGACGCCTGGTAGTACAGAAAGGACGCAGAGGACGGAGTAAATCGGGGCGTCACCGCAGTACCCTGTACGGGAGCTATACTTACTAGGTATCTGGAATCTGCCTGCCTGCGGTACAACACATAACTGGTTATGGCATTACGCAGGCAGCCTCTTTTCTCTTCTCTCCTTCTTTTTTGCAGCTATGTATCTTGGTTGCCTGTGCCTTTGTTCGCTTTCTCGGCCTTTCGGGGATGTCAAGAAAAGCGAGACACGCAGGCAGAGAGAAGCAGATGACCAGAGAGTCGTTAGCGGCCTCGTCAGCTTCGTGTAGCTACAGATGACTCTTTTGGTCAGCGCCTGCATTAGCCCATCCATCATCCTCTTGCGCGTTTTATGAGCCTCCATGGGCAGAGTCGGGCAAGTCGTATGTCTTATCGTTCTACGGAGTACGGAGTACGGAGACAAGGTACTTTAGTTCTACAGCAAAGCGTCCATCCTACGAGCAGCGAAGGGGGTTGAGCGAGATGACATGATCGGCTGATCGCTTGTAGAAGCCGTTGATTGGTATCTAAATATAATCATTTATCATAACCTCATGAACCCCTTGCTTCAATTTAGCCGGACCAGAGAGCATGGCATGGGGGAGAGCTGCAACGTCGCCAACAAGCCCCCAATTCGAGACGCACGGTCAGCAAAGAGGGAAAGACGCCTGGCAGGTGGTCACAACGCTTGAGCTTGGATAACTTTTTTGTATCTTTTTTTGTTTTTGTCGGCTCGCTGTTGGGGGAAGGCTACTAATACACAGCAGGCAGGCTGCAAGCAAAAAGGAAGCAATGCACAAGCAGAGCAGAGCCTAGGGTAGCTAACGAAGCTCTCCTCCATCCCTCTTTGGACATTCAACTCAGCTCGGCCGCTTAAACGACGCACGCCAGCAGATATATTTTCTTCTTTCCTCCTTCGCTCCTCCCGCTCCCGGCCTAGCCAGGCGTGGGGTTTTAAGCGTTGATCATAGCGGCCATGGACCCCGAACACTTCCGCAAGCATCAATGCACATCTATGCCTCACGGGTCAAGATGTCGGAGTCACCGGCGTCGAGGATGGCCATGGTAGAGCAGCGGAAAAGTTTACCGCAGGCAGTTCCAAGTTCAATCTATACGGGCGAACGTAAACAGCGTTCCAAGCGGTTAGCCAAGCTCTCCAGCAATATCCCAGCACATGGTATAGGAAGCATAGCATGTGGGAGGGAAATCCCTTCTCAGAGCAACTACTACTCTCCAAAGTCACACTTGAGAATAGTCCACTACGTGTTTCTCGTGTAACTTCTTCGCAGAGCAAAATGGAGGAGATAGAGCTGTCTTTTTTGTTGCGCTTTTCCCCCACGCAGGAATTGGCTCTCAGCGAATACGCACGTGGAGTACTTCACTTCTTTTTCCAGGATTTTTTTCTTTTGGTTTTTAAAAGGGGAAATAGGAGGTTGAGCAACTTACGTTGTTTCCGTGGAAGTGGTGGACTGGGACCTTGGCGAGCATAGCATAGTCTGTATACACAAATCAATCAGTTTCGAACCCAGACAACTTTACGCGCAAACACACACAAGTCTGGTGACGACTTACACTCGAGCTCGGACTTGCGCAGAGGTGGGCAGTTTCCAGCAATGAGGATGAGCTTGGCCTTGCCGGAGCGGAGGGTCTTGAGAGTAGACTTAGATCCCATGGTGACTGTTGTGAATGATCTCGTTAGCTTTCTAGACATATTCTCCCACGTCTGGACACAGAACAACATACCCTTGCCGGACTTCATCACAAGCGCAAGGCGCGAGGAGAGGGTATCAGTGGTCTTCTTAGCCTTGGCCATTGCGATGGATGTCTGGTGTCTGTCCTTGCTGTCGAAGAAGAAGGTCGGGATGCTGGAATTGGTCGTTGATGCTTGCTGGTCGAAGTCGAGCAAGAAATAAAAATCGAAAACTTTTTGTGCAAGAGAAAAAACTAAGCGAAAGTGCGCTGCTTATTAAGTAATGTCATGTGATATCATGTGATAGATTATCTAATCTAAAGATAAACGGTGCGCGGGGTCGAAAGTTGAACCGCATTTTTTTTGGTTGTTGCGACAAAGGGACAGAAAAAACAGCTCCTCTACGACGCAACTTGTAAAAAAGACCGTTGAAGACAGAATGGCTTCTCCTACGCGCCTCACAGTTCTCATCTCCGGGAGCGGCACCAACCTCCAAGCCGTGATCGATGCAATTGACGCGCAGACTCTCCCCGCTACAGTCGTGCGTGTACTGTCGAACCGAAAAGACGCCTATGGCCTCGAGCGGGCAAAGAAAGCTGGTATACCTACCGTATACCATAACTTACTAACATACAAGAAGAAACACCCAAACACCGAAGAAGGCGTAAAGAAGGCTCGGGAGGAATACGACACCGAGTTGGCACGGATAGTACTGGACGATAAACCTGATCTTGTCGTCTGTCTAGGGTTCATGTATGTGCTGTCAAAGAAGTTCCTGGACCCAATGGCGAAGGCTGGCTTGGATACTATAAATCTACATCCCGCACTACCGGGTGCATTCAATGGAACTGTAAGTTGGGAAGCTACCCTTCTGATCTTTTGGCATGACTGCTCTACTATGGTTGCTTGATATTCTAATTCCAGATGGTAGCATGCAATTGAACGCGCCCAGCAAGCTTGGTTAGACGGCAAAATTGATAAGACAGGAGTCATGATACATAAGGTCATCGCCGAGGTTGATATGGGCGAGCCAATCTTAATACGCGAGATTCCATTCATAAAGGGTGTGGATGAAGATCTGGAGGCACTCGAGAAGAGAATACACAAAATTGAATGGGAAGTGGTGATAGAAGGAATAAACATTATGATAAAAAGGATGGAGGGGAAGGAGTAGTCAAAAAGAATGGTCCAGATGACTAGCTTAAGCGTCAACGTGGCATGCATCTGCACAGTTGATACGCTGAATTGGATGGTCAACTGTTGATAGTCGATGGGACCTTACTATGTTCTGGTACAGAGCACTTCCCATAAGCTCTGGAGCCAATTCGGTATTATGAACTACCTGGCTAACAGCAGGCCTCAGACCTCCTGTGCACTCTGTACATTCCGCTGTTGCCTGTTTCCTCTTTCACGTGGTGGCTACAGTTAACCCTTGATCCTTAACACTTCACCTTATGTCACCTCGATATTCCGCGAAAGACACTCGGCTTAATTCTGCGAAGCCTTAATTGGACACGGATTGAACAGTCAAGGTACAAGAAAAGGGGTGGCGTTTGCGTTTCCCTTTTGCTAAAAAAAAAAAAAAAAAAAAAAAAAAAAAAGCGAGAGTTGCCACATGTTAAATTGCTTGATTGAAGTTAATTGGGACCCTGATAATACCAGGAAAAGATATCCCGGGAATACCAAAGGAAATAAGAGAAACAAAATGGAATGAGACAGGAGAGAAGGGTTTGATCCTAATACCCTGGTATTTCCTATCTGTTCGCCTTCGGCAATATAACTAGATCATCAAGCTTAACCCCTGGCCGGTTAATGATAGCTAGAGAGGACAACCTGACTGCAGCCACCCGGTTTACTTGCCAAGTGTTTCGGCTATATTTCGGCGATATAGTCAAGACACAATACCGAGAAAATCCTGAACAATAGAACTTGATTCTATCCCGCTATGGCTACATGGTCCTGAGTGTGGCGTTCCTGTGGCAGTGCTATCTATCAGACCCCTGGAGCATTGACGTGACCAAGAGCAGCAACCGAATTGGGCGAGCGTGATGCCGATTAATGAAAGAGCGGTAAGGCCGCAAGAGCAATAGCCGGGCTGATATGTTGCATCACGGTATGGTAGATTGAGTTTTATAAGGTTGAAGTATACACAAAATGTGACGGCGTGTTGACCTTATCCAATAGCTGTTGAGTAACCTAGATTATCTCCCCGTATTTAGGTCGCATCGATTGGGTCTGTAGCTTTGCCACGAGAGGTCTCGTATCTATCAATTCCCGGGGAAGTTATAGTTAAAAATTGCCCTCTAGATCGTTTGCATCTCGATCTCATGCTCGGCTTTAGAGTTGGCTCTAACAACCACCAAGGTGAGATTGGTATGTGGCTGGCTATACCTGCCTTAACGGCGACAATCTAGGCTATTAGGAAACTAGGTAGTTAATAGACTACAGCGTTTTACGTGTCTGTCGATCGCATGGGACTGGTTGGAAGTAAGCATTGACATTGCCATTATCAACTACTTTGGTGCTAGTTAGGATCAAGCAAACCTGCTTCTATAATATGTATGTTGCCGTTGATATACAAATGTGGACCATCACTCAAAAATAACAAAATGCATCGTAGTTTCCCTATGAATACATAGCGGTATGGGTAATCAAAACTGGGGTGTTATGGAACGATAAGAATTTAGAGGGAATTGATACTTCAAAATTGAGAAATTATGTGCTTAATAAATCTCGGAGTAAAAAAAAACTATTCATTAAACATAACTCTCTTTTCAGCTTCGTCGAACTCCTTTTTTGGTTCCAACTGAAGTATGGCTCACGGCCACTCCGACTAGGCTGTGAGATGTAGTATCATCAAAGGGGGAGGAAAGTGGGCTAGCTACTTCCCTTTCTTTATCACGCTTAATGCGATAGTAAGCTAGTCTTGCAAACCGGCTGAGCTGAGCCCAGAAATGTCGACCAGCTTCATGGACGGATATTCGATCAAGTAAATCAACGGTAGCATTGCGAGCAACTGAGTCGTTATGAAAGAGGCCCATAGAGAGGTAAAAGAGCCCAGCCTGTGTTTCGGGAATAACTGAAAGAAGTTGGCAGATAGAGTTGTAATCTTTGATGGATTTTGAGAATGCGACATATACTGCCTTAGCATCGACATCGCTGAGCTTGAGTGTCCGCAGCCGATCATGGTGATGTTGGACGTCTAGTCCCTTCAATGGCTTTCCAACAAGGTGCATTGTTGCAGTATCTTGAATAAAATAGTAATATGACCGGGTATTCCTCCATCCCTCAATTCGTGGTACCCAAGCAGCGAGTTCACGTTGCTTGGTGGCTTCATCGACCCAAACGTACCCGTGTCCGCGTAGAGTTGATTCTCCTGAGCGCTCACGCATTGGAGATGAATCTGGTGGAGGTTCATCAGGGCCCACGATATCAAGGGCAGTTGCCCCGTAGACTATCTCTTCAAAGGCGGCCGAAATCCGGGTGAATTTGTTGATATAGGCACGCCATTTGGCTCGAATAACACCTTCACTGTGTCTTGAAGCAATGCTTTTAAGTATATCATCCATAAACTGCACATCACCAGTAAGGTCTGGAGGGGTAGATGAGCTGCCGAGTATAGATGAGGAGGAATTTTGGTTCTGCGGTTGGAAATACTGCATCCCTTCTGTCACTGGGGCTGCCTCGACGCGATTGCTAATCTTCATCCGTCCGCTAGGGAGGTCACAAAGAAGATCCCACCATTCATGATGATTAGCAAATGTCGGGTTTGTGACACCGGCTACGAAGCCGGGTACTTTGATAAGCTCATCAATCTTAGTCAAGTCCGTGTAGGGAAATGCGTGGCGAGTGAAACCCCGTAGTGTTCCTCCTGAAGCAAGAGCACATGTTGCAAGCACAGCTTCAGCAACTTCCCCAGACGGCCGATTATGCCCTAGGAATATAACCCGTTTCTGAGTAAGTAGAGCATTCACCAGCACAATAATGGGATGTGTGAAAGGTCCGCTGCTAGTTAGATGAGGGTGTAGAGTAAATGGTTGTGGGGAGGTTGCATGGGGACCGGCAAATGTCTGTATCAGTTTGACCAAGGAAAAGTCGCCCACTGTTTCTGGGGAGATTGCTGTAGGAACCTTGACTGGAATTGCAATATCGTTGTAGACGATTTTAGATTCAAACTCATGGGTATCGCGAGGTACAGTATATCGAGGTGGAGGCCCGGCCTTCTGGGGATCAATGCCTTGACGCTCTAGTTCTGATTTTTCATCTGCAAGTCTCTGTTTAATCATCCGTTCGAACTTTTCCACAAAGAGATCTTTTGTCTCAGTTGACTGAAGTATGTGACGTTCAAGGTATGAAAGACATGGCATTAGTGAAAGATCCATGGCATTAAGAGAATCATATAATTTGGCCAGAGTTTCCGGGAAGGGATGTTTAAAATAATCTTCCAAGGCAAGGAGAAGTAATGGCTATGGTACCCGTTAGTAGAGGTCAGATTGCAGCCAACTGCGGAGAACGAACTTTGTATATGTGCAGAAATGAGTGTCTTGTGCATATCGCCATTGCCTTGACCATTGCACCACTAGGTTTGTCAGTGTATCAACTCATGAGCAAAGGAAGAATGTGGTTGGAAATACCGTTTGACTGATGTGTCCTGTTTTGTATTCACAAGGTTTAGGACGTACATCAAGGGCGGTTCATCATCCATACCGGCGCTACCGGCGTCGTCTTCCTCCGGATAGGTGTGAGATAATTCATCTTGATTTTTCTCTTCGCCTTGTCCGTCATCTCCGTCCTTATCTTCTCCAGATTCAGGATCTTCTTCTGGTCCACCATTATCTTTATGCAAAAAGAAGATTGTCCAATCCTGGCTGCGAACATGTGTTTGATCAGGCAGCATAAGCTCTGCCAGCATACTCTCGTCACCACTGATTGCGCTAGGATACTGATGCTCCATGATAGGCCCCCGATCTACATCAAACGAGGCAACGAGGATGTACTCGACATGCGGTTCGGGAGAGTCAGCGGGGTACTGTGATTTGTACCTCCGCTTCTGGGCCTGAAAGCTGCCATAGGAATGTACAGATCGCCGCTGTGAGGATTCTCCGGAGCTGCCAATTGATTTGTGACTGAGAGATGTCTGCGATCGGTTTTTCCTGGGTCCAATGGCCACGGACTGATGTGGGGATATAGACGACGGTGGGATGGAGGTGAAGGAGGTCCCTCGGTCGTGAGAAGAGCCGTTGGTAGAGGGTCGTCTGGCCAGAGAGTTCGCCATAATTAAATATCGAAGGTATAATCAGAGGATTAAAGGGGTTGGAACGAGAAATTGCATTCTACACCATAGCAAGATGGTTAATACCACGGCAGCCACCTTGGGCGCATAAGTCGACGTATTTCAACGTACCTCGCTATTGACGCAATGCGCTTATCGAATATTGCATATCAATCCATCAGAAGTTTGCGCAGACCAAGGTACCTTTAAGGACGCCCCAGGAACAGCCGTGTGTGCCTCTCTCTCCATGCGATGCGCCATGCAAGCAGAGGGTCCCTTTTCTTGGTTTCTCTTGTACTGGCGGCTATTCAGGTTGAGAACAGGGTTGGGATTGGCTGGCCTGGCGCCTTCACGTGTTGCGCTGATGACTAAGTCAAAAGGAACAACGTTTTTGCGTTCGGGAGAGGAAAATAATTTATCCTGCCCAATGTTTGTTGATTTCCGCTTTGGGCTTTCTGATAGCAACGACTTGGGCTTATCAGAGGTAAGATAACAACGAAGAAAGCGAACTGCAACGGGAATTGGGACGACTACGTATCAAATATTTACGGATTTCAGGCCGTGACAGTCTTATCATCTATTTGATTGCTTTAAATAAAGCAGAACGGAAAAATGGTATGATTAGTTAGTTGGTATTCGGTATACAAAGGACAGCAGTATGGACTGACAACGCTGCAGGGTACACCAAACACCACACCATATAAACCATCACCTCTCTCCTTTGGATCTCCTCGTTCCTCCCCTTTCCGGCGCCCATCGTTTGTCACCTCACCACCGCCTTCATCACCTGGACCAGTGACCCGACCAAATATACCTGGAAGTCCTAGTAGCAGGGGAACAACCCCCACACATTCCCCCAGCAAATTGAGCCATTTCCAAGCACTGGAAAGAGAGAGCGGAGATGTATTTACAAACGGCAGCAATGGGCTACGGCCCTCTCCTGGCCCTAGGTCACCGCAGCTTTCACCTACAAAAGGAGCTAATGTTCAAGATCGGTTTTCGGCTATGGGACGACCCAAAACACCTGAAAGGTCGCCAAAAAGCAATGATCTGCTGAGCAAGATACCTCCGGCGCAGCTGCGGGAGATGCGTGAGGCTTTCCAAGTACTTGATCGTGATAACGATGGCCAAGTAAACAGGGAAGATGTAGCGGATGCTTTGAACAATCTTGGTTAGTTGATCCCCTTTTCGGCGTTCGATGTGTCTTCGGCTTAATATTCTTGCTCATTTATTTATGGTTAGGCGAAGACTCCTCTTCTTTAGCAACAGGGGCATACTTTCCGCCAAATGGCCCTCGTTCAATCAACCTTCCGACATACTTAAATCAGATCGCAACCTATCTAGCGCCTCTCTCGTCTCCTCAAGAGCTTCTCAATGCCTTTGCGGCGTTTGACGAGGATGATAGTGGCCAGATTGACCTGGCAGAGCTTCGAGACGCTTTACTTCATACCAGTCCCGAAGGAGACGAGAGACCGCTGACAGAAAGTGAAATAAACGAAGTCATACAGGGGTTTACTAGCAGGCGCGCGTTTGGCCCCAAAGGGAAATCGCCCTCTCTTTCCGGGTCAAGAAGTCGAGCCGAGGTGTTCAGGTACGAGGAGTTTGTGGGAAGTTTGACGGGTGGCGCGGGGGATCCGAAGGCCGATAAGTCGAAGTCGAAGGAAAGCTAAGCATCATCTGCGGATTCCAATAACGTGATAGTGTCAATTTGCATTGGTAACTGGGTAGCGTCGCTTTTGGTGTTTTTAATTATGAATAATAATATATGTAGAATGAATAACCCACTGTTTCCTTGATGCACCTGAATCCCAGCCGGCCCGAAGGTGTTCATATTTGCACCTCTTCGCCCTATATAGCCCGTCGATTATTCGTTCTTTGCTGGCTTCTTTCCCCCTTGCTCTTAAAAGGGTCAGAATACCCTCTAAACTCTAAATAAGCTTGATATTGCCAAGAGCAGTATGCGCGCACGTGACGAAAATAAATTCATCCTTTGGACGAATCCGTAGAAAGTTGGCTGGATCGCCCGACGCGCTGGGCAAATTAATCGCGATGAGGCTGGTTTTCAGTTTTCAGAGCAGGGGTTAGAAAACCATGACTTGCACGCCAGCCCTCCGCATATCGCCCGGGTTATTGAAAGCCACTCACATTTACGCGCTCTAGGGACATTTTCTGGCGCCTAATATAGGGCCGTGGTACTCCCTCTGTTGATTCAGACAGCAAGCATGCCTCAACCATCCCAACCTCGTGCCCCCGCAGGATCAGGCGGACTGCAGCCACCTCAACCCACTAGAACATTACGCAGATTCCAATCACACCAGACCCTATCAACGCATTCAAGTAGCCCGGCCGTAGGCTCCCGACCTCCGATTTCCCGAAATACAACTGCCATTAACACTCGAGAGACATCAGCACAGCAAACACCCGACCAACAGGCAGCTGCCGCAACAACACCCGCACCAACTCATGGCCGTGGGAGATCAAATAGCGATGTTACTGGAGCCGCTCCTGGAGCTGCCCAGCCACGCAAGCGGCCCAGCGTTAATCGAAAATCGGGGTCAATTGGTTATCTCACCAGACGTTCCGGGCTTGAAAATCTCTTGAGAGAGGGCCCTCCGAATAACAATATTGCGATTGGACTTGAGGAGCTGCGGTACCTGATTTTATCCACGAGAGTCGATGCAGATAACGATGGGATGGTAAGAGGGTTTAATCATCCTGGGAGTATATAAGGTTTCTTGTGCTAACGTTTCATTGTTGGAGTCAACGCACCGTATATACATTTGGCTGGCACTTCTCGATATACCTCCTCTACCAACTGACGAATACCTCTCTCTTGTCCACCGGGGTCGGTCACCAGCATATACCAAGATCCGCAATGATACATTTCGAACCCTAGCCACTGACCCGCTATTTAAACGAAGGGTCACGGAAGCAAGTCTTATACGACTTCTCAACGCAGTAGCATGGAAGATACATGATTCTAAGGCCGCAGCTTCGTTGCGTCAGCTTTCTCCTTCACAACAGTCAAACTCGAGAAGAACATCATCGGTTTTCCTTTCCGATGTCCATGCCGCTGCAGCTGATGATCAGGGGGCGAATTTGTCGGATTCCGCTGCAATATATGTGCAGGGGATGAATGTTCTATGTGCACCGTTCCTCTATGCATCACGAAGCGAAGTGGAAGCGTACGCGCTATTTCACCACTTTATAACCCGTGAATGTCCTGGGTATGCTAAGAGTACGATGGACGGAGTCCACAAAGGCGTCAAGCTGGTGGATCGTTGCCTAGAAGTTGTTGAGCCAAAGCTAGCGAATCACTTATTCAGCAAGGGAATGCATGCCGAATTATACGCATTCCCATCCGTTCTTACACTGTGTGCTTGTACGCCGCCTCTTCCAGAGGTTTTGCATCTTTGGGATTTCCTGTTCGCCTATGGACCGCATTTGAATATATTGTGCATTGTTGCACAATTAATACGGATGAGGGATGTCATTTTGGCGAGTCAGAGGTAAATGGCTTATTCCCCTATACCACTCAATGCTGAGAACATTTACTAACTCTGCGTAGCCCAAATAAAATCCTCCGGTCATTTCCACCCATCGATGCAAAAGAAACAATCGCGCTGACGGTGTTAGTCGTACAAAAAATTCCTTCGGAGCTTTATGAAGAACTACTTTTGCATGCAAAGTAACTTTTTTCTTTTCCGTTTTTAAAGTTTATACCAGCATCAATGCATTTCCCTTTTCTATGGCTACATGTTACTTAGTGATGATGATGATAATGATAACGAACACTATTAAGAGGTATAAACCTATGGTCATCCCCTGTACCCCTTGCTTTGAAAGTGCAGGAAGAGTACAAAGATGGAGAGAGAAGGGCAATTGCAAAGTTTAAAGCCAAGGGTGTGCTAGGCGTTAACGCTGTCCCACAGATTTATTCCTCCAAGAGCGGAAAGCTGGACCAATCATGCACCCATTTTCTTCCATCTGGAGACCCTGGCCAGAACGGAAAGCTGGACCAATTATGCATCCATTGTCTTCCATCTGTAGGCCCTGGCCAGAGCGTTTGCCAGAGCGTTTGCCAGACCTTTCGATAAAACCGAGCTTTCACAGAATGAATACCCGGTCTAGTCACATCAAATATCACCTCAATTTTCCCCTCAGAAAACTTCCGCTCAAACCACTCAGCCTCTTTTGTAACCGCTTTATCGAAATCCCCATGCTCTTGGAGTTTCGTGCAAACCCAAGTTCCACCAAGCCATTTCGCGATATCCGCAAGATTATCATTAAATACTTCGCTTCCAAATTCGCCATGCCCCCGGGATTGAAGTTTGAGGTATTGCAGTGAAGGGAGTTTAGAAGGGTAGGCAAGACGGTTGGTAGTAGCTATCACCCGGAATACTGAAAGGGCGAGATTTCCGTCAATGGCAAGGTTTTTGAAAGTTTCACACATCTGATCCAAGGATACAAGTGCATTGTGACCAATGTATAGTTTATCGTCGCAGGCATCGGCTATTGAGCCGTGTGTGTAGTGGATAACATTGGAAAAATCAAACGTCAGTATGATATGCTTCAAGTATTTCAGCTCGCCCAAAGTCCGATATATATCCACTTCGTCTTTATTCCCATTAGTCCGGGGTATAAGAAGGCCAAGCATTCTGAGGTTCGGGCATCGTTTCTGAATCTCTCGCACCTCACTGTTGAAGGGGACAAATAAGCTCCCTCCCGCTGCGTGTTTGCGAGATGGAGTAAAATCCAGTCTAAGTAGGGTATCACCATGTTTTTCAAGAATAGCATTGAATGTCCGTTCAGCAACGGAGCCAGTCAGTTGCAATTCCTTGAGCGGAGGCATATTTCGTAGAAAACCAGCCATCTCTTCGTCAAGGATCATAGCATCTGCCACTGCGTGAGGATATAGCCTTAGGCTGACAGAGAGAAGGGACCTAAATTTTCCTTCCGCTGCCATTTGACCCAAAGTACGGATGATGTCAACACCGTCGTTGTTCGTTACCCGAAGGATATGCAGTTTGGAGAAGTCCGTATGGCAGCTCCATGCTCGGAGTGCAGAAGAGGCTAAGTCTTTAGTGTAATTGAAGGAAAGGCTCCGAAGATTCCCAGTTGGCTCGGAACTACCTTCCTCTCGAGGTTTATTGACAAAAAACCCGCGCCATGCCGGTTTCGGGCCCATTTGCGCAAAAAAAGTGACCGGTACTTCTATGGACACATATCTTAGATTTGGGGCCAACCCAGCTACCATTTGTAAAATTGCCTCGGCGTTAAAGGAAGCTCTTCCCTGAATATCGTAATTTGAAAGCAGTGGACATATGCTGTATAAGCATGGCGATGTCACAAGCGCGTACTCTTCAGGGCTAATATCTTGGGGGGAGTTGGGCAATTGAAAAAGGCTGTGGAGGGTGAATTGGCGCATGTGTAGGCGACTCTTTGGGTGATATAGGTGTAGTGCTTCCAGCATGCAGGGCGGAATTTGATCTGTGGAGGCGTAAATTAGGTCTTTAAGACCAGATAGGTTCTTGATAAACTTTACAAGGGGCCTCCAGGCAGCCTCTTGGGACTGTTTCTCTTCATCTGTCAAAGGTCGATCTCCACCATAGAGAATCACATCGGTGCAAACCTTCTTCTCGCCATATTCCCAGACCGAATCGTTGTCACAATGCCAATTAAGATCTGTTCCCCATTCGTCATCTTGCTGTTCTTCAGTTTCCGTACGGGGCGCAAACCTCCCGTATTCTAGGCGCATGCTTCCATTTATTCTCACGAGTTGTACGTAGTCGGCGTTCCCATGAGGCTTTAGGATGTGATTCCATATCGCCAGGTCATTGGCCAGTTTCTTTCTGGTTTCCAAGGTTATTTGAACGCGTCTTAGTCGTTGTCTCACTGCTGCAATGCTACACCGTCGGCTTGCTAAGGAGAAGGAATACAAGCTCTGCCGGCTTGGGTCACATTCCACAACGCGTTCACAGACTATGCATAGAATATCTAGAGGCATACTCTCAAGAGACAGCGAGCGGGTCATTTTTGGAGCTGCAGCCATAGAGGCAAGGTTAGTTATTGGTTGTCGCGTATGTGTAAAGTCAAAGGTCTCGGCGATACAGTTAGCTTTTATAGAGGTATTGCTAATAGTAAGTAGACTAACTGTGAATAGATTGTTAGGCTAGTAACATGGTTATTCACAGCCTTTCTTTCAAGCTGTCCTGTCTAGTGGATACGCGGTGAAGTGAACAAACCTGGCTTTGACACCTCTTTCAAAGTGAAGGAGCCTTCTTTGTGTGCAGGACAAGTAAATAAATAATATGTGGAGACTTAGCACGTCAACATAGCTGCGGTCGGCCTATTCCTCCGACCCTTGCAGGTTGGTGGCTGTTCTTCCAATCAACAGTCGAGTTAAGCTTATCTGAAGGAAAGCTTCATCCTTCTGTCTCCACAAGATAAGGTTTGCCTAACTATACAAAGAGATTGTCATCAAGCAGCTAGCTAAGGTAAGGCTTGAGTGAGCCCTGACATGTATATTAAACGATGGCTTGCCAGGGTCGGAGTAGTCAGTCCGCTTGATAGCTATGCGGCGGAGCTTACTCTTCATTTTGATATCCGGAATGCCGAGTCTCCTAGCTAGCAATAGTAGTTTAGTATGGTTACCTACCTCAGAGATGTTTATAAAAGGAGTGATTCAACCTCTTCATCTGGCGACTTTTCCTTCATCACTCTCTTCAGCTCAGCTTTACATCGATCAAAAAGCCCAATCCTAATATCCAAATACACAATACGTATGAGAATCCACATCATCTCTAAATCAAACTCCTTCACATACAGTTACCTAACTGCTGCTTAGAACGCTCAAAACCCACGACCAAATCGAAGCACAATGAAATTCACCACTACTACCATCTTGGCTACCATCTTGGCTCCCACTGCCTTTGCGAGCAATGTTAGCTGCGTCTACCAGCAGGGTACTAAGGGGGATCATATTGTTGGGCTTAAGGGTGCCGTTCAGGCATATGGCGGGCAATATCGTGTCTCTGGCAGGAGCGGCTCCACCTTTGCAACCTATGGAAGCGCAAAACTGACGCTACGCCGTACCGGTGATCACCCCTCGGTGAACAGCTATACCGACGCTGCCACTGTCGCCAATAAAATCCAAGAAATCATCGACTGTTGCTACAACCACGGATACACCGAGTGTGTTGGAAACGGTGACATCACGTCCTTTTCTGATGGCGGCCCTATCAACGTGAACGTTGCCCATAACTAGAATTGACATCGGGCGAAACCTAATTACCTGTGAGGGTGGAGGTGCGATGGGGAAGTGATAATGCAAAATGAAATTAGAGATAGCCAAGCCAATGATATCTAGTTCGTTCTATTGGAATCACTACTATACCGTAAAGTAGACCTATAGTGTTGACTTTGTTTCAAACAATATAAATGTGGTTATTGGGTATCATAAGAAAGGAATGATGCAGGTAGCAGTATTTCCGTACAAACAATAAGCTCAGACGGAGGATCAGTGGTGATCTGCTAGTCAGATTCAGGCCTATGCGCTTATGCTTGTGTAACCTCCCAGACACAGCGTTCACATAGGCAGGCACCTCCCAATGCTCCCATGGCCCATTCACGTCTTTCCTTGACCGGAAGGCTGATGTCGCAATAGTGATTTAGGATTTCTTCGCCCTTCGAAATACCTCCCATGCTAGACTTGGAGTCTGGTCCCCATTTAACTCTTGCCTCCTTGGTTCTAGCAGTAAATGTAATCTCACCACCCCATTCCCACCGCACATTTGGATCGCAGCTATGGTTGGCCAGACACCACAAGGGGTGTACCGCACAAACTTCAGGTCCCCCATCCCATGTAGATAGACGACCAGATGCAGTCCCACGGAACTTGGCGTATAGAGTATTTAGGACCCAGGTGTCGTACCGATCTAATGATTTGAACGGATCAATCCCCATCTCATCCAGGATACGCATAGGCTGGACGATGTTAAGCTGGAAAGAAAACGGTAGTGTAGCTGATGTAGGTCGCTTAGTGAAATTTGCATCCAAAAGATAGTCTTCTTTCTCATCCAAAGAGGAGAAATCACCCCAGATGTATTTGACTTCTGGGAGTTCAAGAGGATGGACATCTTGAGTGGCTGCCATTGCAATGGAACGCTCAAGCAATAGAAGGTATAGGTAATCTGCTTTGTCTTTTGGATCTGGGACATCTTTGCCAATAGACTCCAGCCCATCTTGACCGCACATTGCACCGTGATAGAGCTCCTGGGCTAGATCATGGCACTTTTGACTGCAGAATATAGTATCATGGCAATCCTCACAAGCCACGGGCGGCTCAGAGGAAGAGAGTTCCGGCAAGCGACCATTGCAAGCATCGCATATATCATCATGTAGTCGGTTTGTCGCCGTTAACATTGATGATTCGTGTAAAATTACCTCGCCTGGAGCAATGTCTTCCTTAGCAAATAAGCCAAGTTGGATGGAAACACTACCACCCTCCAAAGTGATATCTTCTCGTATGTTTCCATCCACAACACTGTCATGCAAAGACGGTAAAGCTGTTGTACGAACCTCACATTTTGGCGCTATCTGGGCCAGCCGTTCATTCAAGAACTGTACAACCTGTGGTTTGTTTCGGTCCGGTTCGTGGGTGTTCCATGGGTATAAGGATCGCCTGGCGTGGCCTTGAGCCGGAAGGGTTGTAGGATCAAAGTCAGATAAATCCTTGTTAGTAGAAATGGCGGCTTCTTTAATCTTGTTGAGTAGCGTCCGTAGCTCTGTGTTCTGCGATCTCCCGTTGATCCCTGCTATAGGTAAATTGGTAGCCTGCATACACATGTCGTAGGCGTCCCTTAAACAACCACACTGGGCAAGACATTTCACTAATAGCTCATAAACCTCGATGATATGTGCAGCATATTCCTTATCCGAAATTGGTTCGTACGTGGGGTTTTCCTCATCGTGGTAGTTTCCGTAATCCTCGCTATCTCCTCCACTGCCCACGAAAGCCTCGAGCGAGCTCAAATCCAAAAGAGCTTCCGGGCCAACACGTTTTAGAGCCGGATATTCGCTTGTGTCGGGATCAAGTACGGAATCGAATAAGGTCAGAGCACGGTAGGCGTCAGCAGCAGCTAAGTCGGGAAATCCAAGCGCTTGGTATGTTAAGCCGCGTTGGTAATATCGCATCGGGTTATATGGGTCAATATGAATCATCAAAGAGCATTCTCGCCGTCTCTTCAATAAATCTGGCTCACATATCTCTTTTTGCTGCAGAGACATTCTATATTCTTTTGACAGCACTTGTGGACTTCCTGGCGGGGTAAGGGATAGATATTGAGAGAAAAGAAGAACATGGACAATACCGGAGGCACAAAAGTACTCAACGACAATACCTAGCTATAGGATAGCACGATATATGGAAACCAACGGGGTCAGCTGTTTGAATTTTGCATGTCAACCTACGATGCCCGTCGCCCCAGAAAAATTCACGAGTATCACGTGACAATATTTGTTCGCAGGTACCTAGGTACTTAATTGAATATTGTAGGAGACAGGAATGCACCCGAGAGACTGTTAGATGACCACCTTCATCCTCTGCTGTTGCTCTCGGCATCATAACCTCTGCGGAGAAGGTATTAGTCCACGATAAGTATTGACATGAAAAGGGCAGCTTCTGAATAAGCGTCCTCAGTAGTAATTGGCTTAGTCTATATGACTGGGTGCCAGTATCACATCCTTCTTAGTATTCTTGATTATGCAACTAGCGCCAGTGCATACAAACGGTAAAAGTAAAGATACCCAACGCCGGTTCACTGCCTTTCCCTAATGTCGGAAAAGACTTCGAGGGCGGGGATAGGAAGAGACCTGCAAACAATATATTTCGTATTGCTAAACATAGCTAGGGAAGGGATAATTGGCAGCCGTATGGGGAGATGTTTGGATGTTTAATCACATAACCTATATATACAAATATTAGAAATTAGTGACTGTAAACTTGGTGCCGGCTGGGCTAGGTTGGCTTACAGAACAATTTTCATCCAGCACAATCTGGTGCTCGTCTCCTCCAACATGAGTACCGGCCAATCCAAGCCTAACATTATGTCTATCCCTTAGCGTTGCTGCTACACGGGCGAGCATGCTTCTCTAAATGTTTTGAAAAATCCGTAAATGAGTATCCGAGCTACTTTCAATATCAACGTATAGAGTACGAGCACATCCGGGATGGTAGCATCAAGTGGTACAATAGGCTTTCATTTTTAGAACAAGGCCGCCCACTCCGCAAATGATAGGCCTCTTCGAAGGATAGTCAAGGGTTGCAATAAACGTACCGTAAGAAAGGCCTCATTCATCCCCCCCTGGCGGTTCACGTCATTCTGGCTTAGAATCTGATAACTGTCATGCAGCCGTTTCCTACTCGCAAGTCCGGGGCCTCTCAAATTTATTTGGCCCAATACATTCTCGACACCAACAGTCAGATCAGATTGAGCATAAGGATTTGCAATGTTGATACCATTGCTGGCATCGTTTTGTGCTCGATTGTCAGGCGAGAATATTTTTATGGTCGAGTCAATTCCTGACACAGCAAGGATAGGTTCGTATGGATGACCTAGTTGTTCCTTAATTAGTATAGGTAGCATGCTTCCCCTCACCGGATTTCTCCCGTACCTTGGACTACATTGACCACATCACTATCCCCATTAAGAATGTTGAGTAGATCTGATGTTTTTCGATCCCATATGAAGACATTTCCATCATCGCTTCCACTGACAACGTATTCGTCATTCAAACCAAAGTAGTTGACGTCTTTAACAGTCTTCACATTGCAATGTCCTCGGTAAACGTTTAGATGAGAAGAGCAGGGTACATGTGACTCTACCGAGTTGCGCCACGTTGACGATAACTGGGTGGATATTCCAAATTCATCTTCATCATCATCCCTTAACCTCTCATTTTCAGAATCATAGTCACTGTTATCGCTCTCGCTATACGAATCGTCGCTGTCCTCTTCCTCATCTTCTTCAGAAGAGCTTTCAATATCATGGTCCTCGTTGACATCATCCTCAAGGATGGCTTCTCTATGTGAGTGCTGACTGTGGTGGCGTGAGTGCCTATTCAGAACGCGAAGTTCAGATATTTCCTGTTCTTCCTCGTTGGGATTGATGTCCTCCTGTAGTCTTTCTCTTTCGTCGTCTTCATCGTCATCCTCTTCAAGCGTGGCTCGAAGGCCACCGAAGGCTCGATTGACAAATTCAAAGTTGACACCTTCACCAACATCCATTAAGATACCTCTCCCTACCTTCAAACCCCAGAATCGAATAGCAGCACGGTGATCTAGGGCAGATAAGTTAGAATGCTCCCTTGGGATTTCTTCCCCGTCAGTTGTTGACATGGCTGCGCCAGAAAGGTCTTCCAAAGGTAGCTTGATTGCCTGAGTAAAAGCATTCACTGCATGAGGTTGAGAAGAAAATATCACTCGAGATTCGTCAACTTCAAATCTCGAGGTATCAACATTCACAATTGGATTGTTCCCAGCCAATCCCTTCAAGTATGGTATCAGAATGGTATCGATGGCCTCGTCTGTTGCAGATTGCGGAATGGGGAATCTAGCAGCATTGCGACGTTCGGCAGGTCTCTCTTTAAAACCTTCTAGTAAAGCTGGTCTCCCTCCTTCAAGCCATAGTACAATTGCCTTCAAGAAATCGTACCCAAATTGACTGCTATGGTCAATAATGCCGTTCTCAGTAGGAGCCGGTTCAATCTGACGGAAAAATTGAAGCTGTGGGCTGTTACCACCCGATGCCGTTTGTATTCTACCGCCAAGAGCTCTGGCTAAGGTACCGGAAGCCTGAATAAACCGACGAGATGACTCCCTATTGCTGCGCAAAGCCTGTTGAAAAACGACATCGCCATGGGTAGGATTTAAGGGGTATCCCCAATTTCTTATCACATTGTCCATTTCAGGCAAATAGGTTGCTGCAAGCCCAAGAACGGCGGTAAACGAGAAAGTATACGGGGTAGGGTCAGCCGTCGACTGTCCTTCGGCAGCCTCACGAGTGGAAGCGTCAACCGAAAAGAGCAACTTTCGAACTTCTACCAACCCCTTGGCTATTCGAAGACTCAGCTTCTGGGCCTCGTTGAGGACAGATTCACGTGCCCTTTCAAGGACTTCCTGTGGGGTATCAGCCAGGCTTGTTCCTGGAAGTGAGTCGAAAGGGATATCTTCGAGCTCGCCGTTTTGGTAACGAACTCTAAAGGCTAGGTCTTCTGATTCGTTACTCTCAGGCCGGAGACGAGATTGATGGCGAGATCCACTGCTAGAAGAGCTGACGGAGCGGGCTTTTCCTCGCTTCCTTTTCCTATTTCTTGATTTCTTAGCTCTTTCAGTGCCGGTACCATTCAAATGTTCCTTGTCATCCCCTTCCTTATGATCCAATGCATCCTCGCTGCGGACCAAATCGAAGCTGTAAATGTGTTCTCCAGACCAGCTAACAATCATCTCATTTGGATTGGCATTGCTAATTTTGCAAGCTGTAATATGCCCGTTATCTCTTCTTCTCATCTTTTTCTGGCCTCCAGGAGCAAACCTTTTTACGCAACGTGTAGCCTTTCCCATTGCCTCGTTGTCATGCGAAGATTTTGGGGGAGTGTGGTTTCCTGGCTGACCACGTTCTGCCTGTAGTTCGCCCTCGCGGTCATCAAGGACGTTGGGGACGAGGTCGGATGCCTCCCAGCCTAGTTTCTTCATCTTCTTGTAGTATGAGCAGGAGATAGTGTTTAGGTCGAGGTTGTATCGCTTATAAGATATTAGGGGTGGCGGAACGTTGGAGTCGTCATGTCTCAAGCCTGGCCTAAAAGCCATAAAACCCTGGCCGCCACGGGGAGATGGATATGCAGACGACGGCTGGCGTAGGTCCCACTGTCTGACCTCTCCATCTTCGGAACAAGTGAGAAAATGATGAGGAGAATTCTCAGTAACAATTCGTTTAACTCGGTCTGCGTGTGACCGATACACTCGAGAATTCGTCGTATTCTCTGTCAGATAGCGCATACCACTGAAGAAACTACTAATCCTTCTTCGTCGAGCTGAGGGAATAGGAGGAGTCGTTGTGGCAGCAGATCTTCCTTGATGCTCGATATCAAAAACACGGACTTCCGAATCACCGGCACAGGATACCAAGGTCCCATCATTCGAATGTGGCATAAACTTCACAGAAAATATGTTTGCTGAATGACCCGTAACAATAGTTGTGTTGAGGAAAAATGACGCTTCTGTCGATTCTGGTTGATAGGAGAAGATGTTTAGATGCTTGTCATCCGATCCTGAAGCAAGGAGTTTCCCGGAGTTCGACCATCTATCATGGAAAATATTCGGTTAGCGCTTTGTTAATTGTCGTCGTATACATGGAGAGATTGAAACTGCACAAACATACGATAAGGCATTGACGCAACCGTTATGGCCGCCTAATACATTGACTATGTCCAAATCGTCGATCCACGCCTTATCACCGTAAAATCCACGGATACTGGTGTCCAGCGTATTATCACCTTGCTCCCTGAGCAGGATACGTTTATGCAGTGATAACTTCATTGTGGAATCGTTAGGGGGTCCCTTTCAGGCGTTCAATGCGTAATGAGGTGTATTGCAAACATCATCCAGCTTTTGTGCTCCCTAAGGCTTGTGCACACAAAAACTCGGAGACCAAGCTGTTTACCGTCACCCTGGAGTTTCTTTCTCATCCGGATAGAGAGTTGCAAATATGGGGTGGCGAGGGCTGTGGCACTGGAAATGGTCGAGCTGACGTCCGAATTGACCCGTATTCGAATATGAAGGGTTGTCGAGATATCTTCCTTCACTCCCTCTACTAGCAGAAGAGGTCTTCTTATACAGTCCCAAGCTTCGTTCTAGAGCCGTAGGAAGCTCCAAGCACCCATAAAGCAGCTTAGGGCAAGCTGTAACTGAGTCAAACAAGCCTGTCCCAGGCAGGTCGAAGTAGAACCGTAAGCGAAAGGAGAATTGAAACGCAGCGGAACGTCACCGAGACTTCACGTTTCTCCATACACTCGTTGCAGGCAGCCTTCGAACGACCTCTTCCGCCTCGTGTCCGCAAAGTCGGTCGTCTGAGATATCGTTCAGGATGGTTTGTCGTTTGTTCGTTTTTGCTCCCAAATTCGAAGGCTTCTTCTGACCCTGTCCTTCCACTTACTTAGTTACCCCACAAGCTCATGTCTGATTATATAATATCTTCATCACGTGCACAACCATGACCTCATCGTCTTGTGTTTATTACATAATTCAGAGCTATATCCAGTTTGTATCAAGTCAATAAGACGTGAGATCTTGTTCAATTCATTATTTATCAAAATATCATAGGCAACGGTAGCAGTAGCAGTAGCAGCTGCGTGGCAGTCATATCCATAACATCATAAGCTTGGCATATCTATTCATGGACGCATCATAACTCAATGGTACCTCCAACGCTCTCCAGCGCGCGCTCCATCCACAAGATTTCGAATTCCATAATCTCCATTTCAATATTGTGGATTATATCCAACTCCTCGATCATAGAGGATACTAGGGACTTATGCCCGGTAGCTGCCTTCAGGAGGGCGGAGTCAGAGTAATCTACTGGCCTGCCAAACTTGTCTGTATCAGCGGTCTTGGGTATATCCAGATCATCCAGGTTACCAGCCAATTGAGATAGTTGTACTAACAACGTCCCAATGTCATCTTTCCATTGCGGAGGTAAGGGCTCGATGAATTGGAGCTCCCCATCTTCGTCAATGTTCGACAGGAGCTTATCTCTGTTTACTTCGCCATTGTCTTTCAATTCCCGATTCTGCTTGAGTTTGGCAACGTGTTGGGTCCATTCTTCAAAGACTCCAACGACAGTATTATACTGACTGTCTTCTGATTCTGTAAGGTGAGTTACTTCCTGGATAACTCGTGATAGTATCCCCATCTGAATATTAAAGTCATGTCCACTACCCGAACTCCTTGATTTCTCTTCAAACTTCTTGACAGCTTGGAGATTCTGGTACTTATGTCTCTCCTGCTCCCGCCGGTAACTCGCCTTCACCGACTCATGCAGCTTCCTATAATGTCTCTCGGCATGAGCTTCCCATTTTGCCTTTGTCCGAAGCCCCTGTGAATGCAGGACATGAAGTTGTAGAAGCTCGGTTTGCAGCGCAAGTGTGTGTTCCGGCGACAGCTGGTCTTCGGGAGGCGTAGGTGAAGGCGAAGGGTTCTCAAGGACCGTCTCTGGTGAGTTGGCAATGGTTTTAGAGGGCTTCTTAAGGCCGAATCGCGCTTGATACGTCGGTGATGGCGTGCCTGCGAGCTTTGATCCTGGAGAGAAGTACGGCGAGCTTAACCTCCCGCTTGACTGCGGCCTCGATTTTACCGAGTCAAAATTAACTATTTGGCTTCGATGTCTCGCATGTGATGCGGGATTGACTAGTTTTGGTGCAGCTGGATGTAGCAGCGACGAAGAGCGCACTGATCTCGCCGGTGGTGCGGAGTTGGGAGGTTTGGCAAGTACTCGTTTGGGTTCCGGTTTTGTGGGCGACCTGGCTCTGGAGGAACTTGGACGTGATTTTGCGCTCTCAGGAAGTAACGGCGCAGTTCTTGTAGGTTTAATCGCTTCTAGGCGGCTCTCCCCTGGCTGTCTTGACCTTGCGCTTTGTACTGTTGATTGAGGCAGCTGTAGGCTCTGCGGTCTAGGAATTGTTCGCCTCTGAGGCAGAAAGCTCTTCTTCTCCGGTATGTCATTGCTGCTTCCAGTTTCGCTCCCGTTCCCATATGTAATCCCAAGCCCGCTACTGCTTTCGTATTGTAGTATCTCTGAGCTGGTGGTTAATCGTCTTGACACCGAGCTTCGACTGCCGAGTGGTAACTGTGATTGTTTTGTAGGTGAAAACAACGGCTATAACTCCGTAAACAAGTGTTTCAGTTAGCTTTCTTGGTCATCTTCACTCGAAAGGGGTTCATCTTTTCTTATGCCTGGGCTGTAGGCTTGCTTCGTAATGTCTTTGCGCATACCGTAGAATCTCCGTTGACCGCTTGTTTTTTCTGAGGCTCACGAACTGATAGCGATCGTGTTGGGATTGGCATGACGTTTCAGCGATTCTTCTCTTGTGTCGATGGATTGTAAAGGGCATAACAATGGCTGGAAGGAAGGAAGCAAGGAGTAATATGTTCTCGAACGGGGGTAATCCTCAGCAGTTGCTGGTATTGAAAGGTGGTTGGGGGATTTGGCGCATTTAGTCCCAAGTCCAACAAACAAGGAGACGGGAGGATAACTATTTAAACAAACGCCAAAACACCAGCAGTGAACATTACACAGAGATCATATTCTCACAATTACACACACGAGCCCAGGAAATTACGCGGGAAATGAATATGACATATATATATATCCCTGGCAACTTATGTTACCTGTTATCTACGAAGCCAAACTGGGAAATGAAAAGGAGAGACAGTAATTAGTTGATGATGCCTTAGCTACCTATTACTTCCTGTGGGCTGATAGCTGTTCTAACGAATATCCATTATCATACCGATGAGTTCCCATGCCTTTTAATAGTCCTGTCCGAATGTATCTGCCCAACAGTTCTGCCTCTTTTAACGGTCGTTTATCATAACACACCGCAGCTAGAGATTCTCGCGCTTGGGGAACTTGACACTTTGAGAAGCGGCCGAGTCGGTGAACCAGCTAACCTTCTCACCGCCGGCAGCATTGACCATCGCACAGGGGAGCGATTTGCCTTCGCTTTGATCAAATATCTGGGACAGTATACCCTGCTTGCCGCCGCCTGTTGCGACAAAGGCGATCCTCAATCCGTGAGTGACCACAGGCAAGGTCAGTGTGATTCTCTTGGGCGGCGGTTTCGGCGAGTCTTCTATGGGGGCGACCCATGAGTCCTTCTCCAGCAGCAGTTCATGCCCCGGAAAGAGGCTGCAGGTGTGGCCGTCCGGCCCGCACCCAAGCAGAATAAGGTCGAAAACAGGCGTTTTCACACTATCCTTGGCGGCGAACGAGCGTCTCAGCTCATCTTGATACAGATCAGCCACCTCCTGGATATCGTCATTTAATTCAATGGGGTGAACCGTCGGCTGGCCAAGCTGGTCTGTTGGTATCTTGTCGAGCAGCTCCGTTTTCAACAGGCCATAATTACTATCTGGGTGGTCCAGAGGCACGACCCGCTCGTCTGCGAAGAAAATATCCCATGATGCAAACTTGGGCGTGTCCTCGTGCGTACCGTCGCCGGGAGCAAGCAGAGAGCTCGCCAGAACTGCTGGAAGAGACCCGCCTGAAACGGCGACGCGGAAGGTCGAGTGTCTTGCTATCGCGGCATTCTGTGACTGGAGCACGTACTTTCTGAGCTGTTTCTTGAGGTCACCCGCTTCGGGGAGCGAGTAGAGGCTGGGGGAACCGGTCGCCATGGCGCTGAGTGTAGTAACAAGCTGGCCGTCCGTTGTCTTCTGCTATCGCATCGTCAGCTTCAGCCTGTTTACTCTTTTTCTGCTCTTTCTTGTTTATATAGAAAGAGAGGGAAATAGCGGGGGCTCTCGACTGATCACGTGGCTCTTTATCAACGAAGCCGCCAAAAGCGACTGACGGAGACGTCAAGACGTCAGACGCCCAAAGATGCAAGCAAAGACAGCACAAGGACGTGGACGAAAAGGAGATGAGACGGGAAGAGGTGAAGGAGGGAGGGCTGATGGCCGCCGATGCCTCTCCCAGCAGCAGTACGCGTCTACACGGCATTGTCTGCTACGATTACGGGTGTCGGCCAGGAACGAGGAGCAGATGTTGGATGCATACCTACGGAACACCAAGGGCTGGATAGCAGGGTGTGTTGGTAGCTGCGTATGGCGTTGGCCAACATGGTGTGCGTACCAGCCAGAATGCCGACCCATGAAAGATACAGAGGCCATAGAGTCCATGAAAACCGCATAGCCTCGCGATGAGAGAGGTCTCGACCATGATGTCCAAAGTATCCCAGCCGGGGATTCGCAATATATATATATCTACATATATGTGCTTGACAAGGCGATCATGGCGATTGGCCGACTATATTGATACGGGAGGCGCACTGTTGTGTTTACCTGGATCTTGCATATTGGGGCTACAGGGCTGGGCAAACCCCCCATGTATCCGTTATTAATCGCTCCTCCACCAAGTCCTCCCTTCCGAAAACTCAGGTGACAATTGGTTGATATGGAGAATGCTAGAGTAGTGAGGATGTTGGATGCTGCAAGTTTTAAGCGAGGACCGTGCCTTGAACCAGGAGCCTGGGGCTTTGTCTCTAAACTAGCGATTCTTTGCAGATTTCGCCCAGGCACGGACTTAGCCCCATGGTGGAATGCTCTGGAAGACGGCAACGGGAGTCTGACAGCTGGGTGTCATCTTGTATGGGGCCGAGATGCAAGTGTGATATGGTTCATTACCCTTTCGACATTTATATATCGATTACATCATATTGACCGGTTTATCTCCCTAGCTCTGAGCTTGAGGTATGGAGAAGAAGACCTTCTCCCTCGTTTTCGGCCGCAAACCCTGTCAAAAATATCTGTACGAAGGGATCTCCTCGGCCAGGAAAAGCGACCGAATAAAAAAAGCAACTATAGGCCCATCTGCGACTAGCCGTCCACTAAAGGGACAACATGCGAAACCCCTGGACAACAACGTGTCAGAGCCAACCGCACTACACTAATCACTTCTCAGTACTACTTCTCCGTACAAAAGGGCAGAGGCAAAAAAGAAAAGAGAGGGACACGGAGAAGGGAAAAAGCAAAAATTTCTAACACTTGCCAACGGGGCTGGCCTTGTCAGGGACAAAAAAGCCCAACACTCAGTAACAAGTCGAAGTTCAGCTGGCTAGGAATCTAGAGCCGGTGCTAACGCCTTTCATGCGAGCCTCCGGGCAGGCGGCGTAGGGCCAGGCCCACGAGACTATATTTATCACTCCCATCCACACATTCTCCCTTTCTCTTTACTCCTTTCCCTCTCTTCTCCCCCTTCCTTTCTTTTCTTCCCTTCACCAAGGCGACAGTCATCCTGTCCGTCAGGGTCATTCACTCGTTTACGCCCATTTATTATCATGGTCAGATCAGCCCATGGAATTTTTTTCGCTCTTTTCTCTCTCTACTACAAGGCGCCCTTCGATCGACACACTCGCTTACGACCATATGACATTTCAGACCCAACATATACGCCTTAATCCAATAAATTAATCCGCTAGTTTTGCATCTGGTATTGGAGAGAGAGAAGGATATCTAATGGTGGGATGGCGCCGCGTCCATGGCTACCATTCGTCATGTCAACAACCACCCTCGTAGCCGCCATATCTTGGGTTTTGGTACTTCACTTGTTCGGGGCCATAATATCTCCTGTCAACGCATATAGCATCAAACTCTTGCCAGACTCAAGCACCCTGCCCGGCGACTCTTTTCTGGACGACCACCAGTTTAGTTCTGGCCTGGAGGTGGAACTACGACCGATCGATGTCGATCTACGCCTTCCAGCGCCAACGGACGCTACTAACAATATAATCATCCAACACCGGCGGCAAAGAAGGGACACTCCAGGCCATACCACAGCCACTCCAACGACGAAGGCGTCAATCATCTTGCAACCAACACACACCGGCAGCCCGGTAAAAACCAGCATCGTCGTCGCATCTCCCACAGCCACAGTTGGGTCTATCCCTTCCGCCTTCGATACCAACCGCAGCGAGAATACCACCTCAAGCTGTATGAGCTTTTTCGACAGTTTCCTATCAAACGCCACCTTCAAAAACTGCATTCCTGTATCCGTTCTTCTCACCACATCCAGTTCCTTTTTCCAAAAAACAAAATCTTTCTCCCTCATCACCCAGACTCTTGACTCAGCGTGCGGTGTAGACGCAGACAAATGCACCTCTTTACTAACTTCCTATGCCGATACAATTGGGAAAAAAGATGTCTGCGGTGAGGATCTGGCTAAGGGGAACCCGTTAGTGGTTGCTGCAAAGACTGGTTTCCTTGCATACAGGGCGATGCGTGATGCAACGTGTCTGAAGGACCCAGACACAAACAATTTTTGCTTCGCAGAAGCCATTACTGATCCCGATATGACGGCGAACGTGTACATCTACCACCTAGCACTGGGGTATTCTCTCTCCGCCGGACGACCGAAGTGCGGGAAGTGTCTGCCCCCTACCATGAAAGTCCTGCAGAAGGCAGCCGGGAACAAGCAGCAACCTGTTTCAGAGGTTTATGTCACTGCCGCAAATCAGGTCAATGTTGCCTGTGGGCCGAACTTTGTCCCAGCTTCAATTACTTCAAGCACATGCTCGAACTTCCGATCACTACCATTTTCGCTTATATCCTTACTCGTCGGCACCTGGAGCTTTTTCTTCTTACTTCTTTAGCTACTATATACGTATTTATTTAATACCCCTTTCTTTGCATTTCTTTCTTATTTATGTGAGCAAGCTCAGCCAATGCGAGTAACCGTTTATGTTCATGCCTCTCTACATTCCCAAACTGTTTACTTTGCTTTTTTCCTTATTGCCTTAACTACTTGCCTGGCGTATATGGAGTTTTTCTACCTTGATTGCACTAGCGTACGAAAAGGCGCATCTCACTCTCATTTCTGGAGCACGGAACTGGGCTGGATCGGAAGGGATCTTGCATTACTTAGTACATATTAACATATTATAATAGTTTCCCTTTGTCTAATATTCATTTCCCTCGTGTATCCCCTTCTTCTTTCACTTGCATGAAGAAGAAAGCACTTCCCTCTCCCAATGCTCAGCTCTACATACCTTAACTACCGAGCTATCAGCTTTATCATCTTAGATCGACAGCACTTCTAATCGCACCCACCTGATTGCTGACGCAAGTCAGTATCTTGCTAGGGTCCAGATATAAGCTTTTTCCGGTTTCAGGTTTTGTTCTAACCTCGACTTCCTTGTAACACCGCGGAGCCATTAGTCCTATATCACAAAATGATGCCTGACGATACGAAATACTTTTCAAAATCTCGATTCCGCCATACATCTCTAGACATGATCCGTCAACTCTGAGAAAAGCAAACGTGAGCTCGGCATTCGTGGGTATACAGTGGTATCCCCAGTTGATTTCAAACGTATCCAAATTCTACCGGAAGGTACTGATTCGAATCCTGTCTGCCCTCCGTAGGAGGTTATGGAAATTGTAGCTCTGATATTTCCGCCAGCCCTAGTCTAGGCTTAGGCTATGATGCGTTTGAGGCCATTCGACTGTTTTTCTCGCTCTTATTATGCAGTTATAGAAACGAGAAATGACGATAGGCGTCTGCGGCATCAAATTCTGACGAACTACGAGCTATGGGTAACTAATGCAGTCCCACCACCGAGAATTAGTGACGGCCAATGCCTCTCGCTTCTTGAATCATGAGATGACATGGCTGGGTTCACCTACCCTTATGGACAGACCATGGCGGCGACATCATGCAGTCCACTCCCGGCGTCACAGCCTAACTGGGTTAAGCACATTAGCTGGGGCTATGGGGATAGCATTTTTCATAGCAGGATAACTGTTAAGTAGCCGAAAGACCCATTAACTAGTTAATGGCGAAGTGGTTGGATGGTCTAGTACTTCTCCACCATCCTCGCATTGTAGGCAGCTAGCCTCCGTACGACCGTCAAAGAAAAAGTGTCCTCAGCAATCATGCACTTATCCTGACGATATAACTAAGTAACTAGCCAAGTGGAATGGCTGGCTATGTATGTATGTATGTAAGGTTGCCTCGGAGTTGGCTCCTTACCCGATCAAGCAGTTATTCATGCAAGGGTTAGTAATTTTAACGTTATTTATATCTCAACTTAGCCTTCTTAAATCCAACGTCTTACGATTGAAAGCCCATGCTCTTCGGTGCTTCGCTGTTTGATACCAAGCCCTTTTATGGATTCAACCAGTGATCCAGGCGCTGCTAACGATAGGCGCGCACTTCTGGCCTACGGTCGAAGCCAATACGCGCAACGAAACTATGCGGACGCGCTCACAGCTTTCACGACGGTAACTTAACCCATCATCTTGAAGACCCTAGTTGGATCATTCCTAATGCATTATACCCTGTAAATTCAGGCCTTGGGCCAGGCAAAAGGCGATAGAATGGGGATACTAGACAGCAGATCTGCTACGTACTGCAAGCTAGGGGATCTTGACCTAGCCCTCAAGGATGGGAGACAAATGCTCAAAATCGACAAGTCAAACGCACGAGTAGGAAACCTCATACCCATACCCCATTAGAAGCTGATGGCTTCTGTGCGTAAATGGTATTGACCATTTTGCGTAGGGATATCTGCGTACAGCTCAAGTTCTGCAGTTGAAGAAGAGGTTTGAGGATGCTCTAAGATTGTATGAGCATGCTCTTAAATCTGTAGATTTAAAGGACACAAACCGACCTGTGAGTCAGTCCTCAACTCTCTATTTATTTTCGAATAAAATCTCACTTAAATTCGTTAGAAAATTGAGATCCTCAAAGCGAAGCTTGACCGAGCTGTGAACCCGCCGCGCCACGACCCATTTTCTATATTCCCTCCTGAAATTGTGGCGATGGTTCTCCAGCATTTTAAACTGCCAACGCTACTGTAAGTGAAAAACGCTACCTCCCCACAGACTGAGACTTTTCTAATGGATAAACAGAAAACTGCTTCGGGTTTCCAAAAGATGGAGTAAACTAACTGTGTCTCTGGGCCTAGCCTTCTCACAGGTGGATTTTACTCTCGCAAGACCACATGCCGTTTCCTTCCAGGCAATTCGTGCATATTGCGTACGGCATGCTAAAGCTATAGAGTCTGCTACCATTGGTTGCGTCACTCCGCAGAATGCTTCGAAAACATTGCAGTTACTTTCAAGGTGCCCCAGAGTCGCTGAAATTTATCTGCATGTTAAATTAGCAGCACCAGAAGACATCAGAATACTATATAATTTCACTGGGCTGAAAAATCTGGTCATCTGGCACCGCGAACTGACTTTCGTGGAATTCAACTCTCTGCTTTCTGCATGCCCTACTCTTGAATACACCAAGGTTTTACTGGGCGAAGAAAAGAAGCGAGAGAATTGGAAGAGCTGCTCTTTCGCACCACGGATGCGAGGTCTATGTCTTACCTTTAACGGGATGCCAGTCACGAACCCCTTTTTCCTTGACGTAAGTGGCATGAACCAAATTCCGCAATTTTTAGCGGTAGGCTTAATATCTAACTTTGCAACTTTATATAGAGCTCATTGAAGGATACAATGCCCGTTCTTGAAGAGCTAGAGGTCTCAGGTGTTGATGTAGAGATGAAACTCCATGGTGTGGACACAGACTTGTCTACCCACCCATCCTTACGCGCAATTTCTTTTAGCAAGTTCACGTTGGATGCTTATATTAAGGCATTACCAATATGTTTGGCAGAATTAAGTTTAACCTCTGTTCTAGTCAACCCAGCCATCGCAGGTACTCCCGTCTACAGCTTCCTAAATGGCCTTTCGAAGTTGAGAGCGCTTAGCTTTTGTAGCCTCTCTTTCGACATAAGTGCCATGGTTGACGAATATTTCTCCGCCTTGGACCCAGGTCTGACACCAGATTTAACGCTTTTTAACGTCGCATATTCTAATGTTACTGCGCGGGAGTTGGTGCCTTTTATGAAGAAAGGGTATTTACGCTCGATAACGGAGTTGAGCATTCCTGGTATCATGGATATGAAGGATAGCATCACGGAAGTCATCGCTGATACGATGCCTAACCTAAAGACGTTAAATTTATCACTCACTGAAGTTACGGGGTATTCAGTCAAGTTGCTTGCAGATGCGCCAAACATGAACATAGAAAGGATAATATTGTTAAATCCCGCGACTCCAATCAGCAGAGACGCAATTGAGTATGGGCGCAGTAAGGGGATTATTTTTCAATAAATTATCCTTTGATATCATTTATTATGCAAAGGCAATTTATATTGATTGTAGTAGGTAAATCGGTGACTTTTGATTCTTCAATCTAAATTCTTGATAGTAATCATAAGGTAAAAGGGATAATAAGAGAAATGGGAAGAATATCTCTAATCAATATGCCTCCCACTCTAATTCATGATTCGCCCATAAGACGCTTCCGGGGAGAATATGCATGCAGAAAAACAAAGGGAAACAGGAATGGAAAAATTCAATTTATTTGTTTGATGGAACTCCTCGTTCCTGGCACCATTTGAGAACTTCCTTGTCCAGCTTATCCCTCTGGTCTCGTACAAGCTCCATCATCTCCTCGACCTGGTCCTTGTACTTATCGAATGAGCCAAGGTTCTCACCCTTGGTGCCAGCTCCGTTCTTCAATAGTGGAACAACAGCACTGTCGTAAGTGGCAATCATGAGATCCATGACGGCGAAGAGCTGGTTGGGAAGCCACTACACATACCAGGTTAGTGGGCCGTGTCAATGAATTTTGGGAGGCAAGAGAAGAACTTACGGTGACGATAGGGCTTCCTCCAGTAGCAGTTGGGTGGGAGGTGCGCTTGATGATGTATTCTCTGGCGAAGAGCCAGTGTCTCCATCGGAAGCTGCGGACGTGGTCGAGTGTCTTTAGGTAGAGGAAGACAGTCTCTGGGTCCTCCATGGAATACTTGGGGATGTTGAGCTCGGCAGACTTAGCGGCGACATGGGCAAGGAACTTGCGGTGGGGCAGTGGGCGGTAAGCACGGAACTCATGCAAGATCTTAGTTAGTGGAGTATCTGGCATGGGGATCTGGCAGAGGTGGTCAAGCAGCGGGATCTATAGATTGCAGAGAAATGGCGAGGTTAGCTAGGGGCGTCTCTGTACATTGTGGGTTATTCAGGGTGAGGATAGGCTTACGATGCTGTCGTTGGCTCCGGACTCGCCACGGAAGTTCAGGGGCTGGTTGTCTTCGATACCCTCATAGACGACACCGTTGGGGAACATGGACTGCGAGGTGATGCCGAAGATGAAGACACGGAAAGAGATGTAGTCACCGGGCTTGGAGTTCTTCCACATGTCTAGATTGAAGTGTGAGTTGAGGTGTTATGCATTATATAAGAGGTCAGGGCGTTGTGGTTAACGTACCTTCCATGCATTGTTCGATCTTAGCCATACCAGCAAGGATGGTACGGTAGGCATCGTTGACGGTAGCACGGTCAGCGCCTTGCTCAACGGCATTGAGGATACGGACTACACCATCGACAAGGGAGCCAGTCTCCTTGACCATGTAGACGTGGGTGAGGATAAAGCCGGCCTCAGAGCTGGCAGGGTCAAGACCGTGCTCGAAGCCACGGATGAGCCTTAAGTTGGAGTAGTCATATCCCTTAGAGGTATCTGCAAGGGCATAGTTGAACAGAGCATAGGAGGCAGCATAGGAGAGGAATGGGGGAAGGTCCAAGCTATCAATGATGTCAACATAATGTAATGTGATGGCAGAACGGAGCATTGAGGGGGTCAACATACATCTGAGCACTCTTATACATTGGACCAGCAATGGAGTGAGGAAGTCTATCCCGTCCAAGACCATAGCTCTGGTCAGGGCTGGTGTTCCAGGACTTCCAGCAGGGTTCCAAGAGGTAAGAGGAGGCCAGGAAGGAGTAGTCCCTGAAGATAGCAGTGAGGGTGTATAGGTCTGGCTTGCCATCAGAGGTAACGACCTTGTCAATCTGATCCGTGAGGTCAGGGAGCTCCGCATGGACAACATCACCCAGTTCATAGGTAGCAAGGAGTCCGGGGGTTCCATCTGCCTTGCGGACGGGGAGACGGTCCATGATAGAGGATAGAGGAGCAAATACCTCCGGCAGTGTGGTTGCAGGGAGGATGGTAGGCATGAACCCTGAGGCAGCGGTGATGGTGAAGGGGTCTACGGACTTGGGGATGCTCATGGGGTCATCAAACACATGAGGGAAGGCCTTCATGGTTGAAGTAGGAATATCCTCGATGCGAGTCATGGTGATGGATGATGGATGATGGATGATGGGCTGATGGGGGAAAGGTAAAGTGGTTTGAGATACGATGGGGGGATTGTGGTGTGGTGGGTGTGTCTCTCTGTGAGAGCAGGTGGCGAGCCTATGTAAATATGTATAGGAGAAGGTGTATATGTAAATAAAGGGGGTAAGGGGTCTTTCCAGGCTTGGAGAAGGGTATGGTGCAGCAACGAAGTACAGATTCACCTATTTGACCTGAAAAAAATGGTAGAAAGGAAGGGGGAAACGGGAATCTGAGGGGGGGAAATGGCAGCATTATATATCCTTCTTGAGGCCGGAATTGATACCGGCCTCACGCACTAATTACGAAGCTGGACAGAGGGAGAGGGATCTAACAAGCCGCCGCTTGATCAGATGACTAAATAGGGCGGCTTTCTTGGATATAACCTGGCAGATGCATCGTAGATGGCAGCAGCAGCGTCCCTGGAGCGTATACAGAGTCCCGGCATGTTGATATCGTCGATATCAAAGTGCCAGAGGAGGCTCATATCTTGCTTAGGTAAAGTGTTTTGGACGGTACGGGTTAACCCAAATCGGTCTGGCAGCGGTCTGGCCGCTTGACAGATTAGATTATCAGATCGCCTATAAACGCGGCATAAAAGTACATTTCAGCCTCCAAGCGACCTAAGAATATCTTATACGCTCCTCTGAACCCTTCTCCCTCAAGGCCCGGGGATGGATTTACGAGCAGTTCGATTCAAGATGGCACTTTGATGTCGTTTCGCATGTCCTTTTTGTCCCAGGCCGGCGCAGAACAGTACATGCAAGCTACAAGCACACCCAAAGTCAAACAGCAATCGCCACGTCTACGATTGGCTAGGGGCGCAGGAGCAAGCCAAGAGGCCGGAATTGAACCGGCCTCCGTTGGTATCCGGCCATGGTGGGAGGAGTGTATGCATATTAATCATCTGGTGCCTGGAGACGGTTGAATCATCAGGGTCGTGAGTGGCTGCGGAGGAACGGAGGAATAGTTCACTGGGGAAAAAGAAAAAAGACCCGACGAGAGGAGCGAAGGGCGGACAAGGATAAATGGGGTGCAGCAAGCACACAATATGCTTTATCCAACAGTTAAATTGATATAACTAATACAACGACAAACAGGAGATGAACACCTAGCAAAAAAAAATAAAAAGAAAAGAAAAGAAAAGAAAAAGCGGGGAGGGTAGTTGTGGCGGGAGGAGGGGAAAACACAGCGAGATACGCAGGTAGAAGGGGGGGTCAAGACAGTGAAGAGATGGTGATGGCCAGGGTGAGAGAGAAGAGAAATAGCACCCAGAAGGGGAACGGCGCCAGACTCTTGCTTTTCGAGGACGGGATCTGCAAGCCGCTGTTGATGTGTACATCGTAGCACACGGTTTCGGTTGAAAGGCCCCCTGCCTTCTGGCACCGCTTGGAAAAAGCAGTATCCGTTCCATTCTCGCTTGCGCTGGTGTTGTGGTATATCGATAGATGCTTGACTCTCATATACACATCTGTCGTGCTCGGAGATCCGCTCCACATCCCGCCATCGGCCCAGAGGTTGAGATAGACGCTTCCTTCGTCCTTTGGGATGCGGAGGTTGTTGGTGTGCACTACCTTTGAATTCTGGTAGAACCGCAACTCTTTCTTAGTCCAGTCAAACCGATGAAGTTGGAAATGGTCTGCTGGCCGGTGTCCCTTTAACGCAATGATCTCGGTTGCATTGTCGATCAGCCATCCCCGATCATCTAGCGCTGGATGTGTGGTGTAGTGAACCAGCATGGAATCGGACTTGAACTCTCTCGTCAAGATTTCAATGTCGATTTCATTTTTATCATCCTATTTCACTCGTCAGCAACTGCTTTTCTCTCCAAAGGAGCCCAGGTTTTAATAAAGGTGTACCGACACGATACCAAAAGAACCCAGCCACGCTGCCTCCCGAAGCATTTTCCATTATCATATCTGCTCGAAAACTTCCATGCAAGATATTAGAAGCACGGCTGGCAATTGATGCTACACTAACATTATGCGCTGACAACACGGACTCCTTGGGATACCCTTCCTGCCGCAGCGTCAACTGGCCGTTTTCAAGATATACATTCTCAGGACGATTGAGTATAGGCAGAGGCGTCGCCCAGTTCAGCACTGGCAGCCCCCATTTCTGGATCGCCCAGTCGCGCGTGAACTTGGGGTTCGTGCTAAGTGGTTTTGTCGGCGAGTAGGTGCTGAAGTTGTTGTGGATGAGGTGGGTGTAGTAGTCCTGGGTGTCGTTGACGACGAAGCCGCATTCGCAACTTGCCTCGGTGGCAGTTGGATATATAACGAGGAAAGCCACAACGGCGTGTCTAATAAGAGATGAGAGATCAACTCGAGCTGTCCTCACCGGCATATCTAAAGTTCGGGATTGGTGTTGAGGTCAGTATTGATGATTAGCAGCAGGCAACGGTCGCGCTTTGTCTGTCCTGTCTGATGGGCATTGGGCACATCAGCCTGTTTCTCTCGGAGATGTAGAATCAGGCCGGTTCATGGACAAATGCAGTGTAGCTCTTTGCATAATAAGTTGCAACAAATTGGCCAACAGTACCCCCTGGAGTAAGCAAAGCAAAGCAAAGCAAAATGAAGAGAAAAGAAGAAAAAGCGAAGTTGATATTTCTAAACACCACAGGTTTCCGGAATAGGAAAGTCCAGGGTGTTTACGAAAGTCAAGCGGAAGGAAGAAAGGACAGCGACCTCCGTTTATCAAAACACTGCATTATCGTTGTACGTTATTGACAGTAATAATAATCGTATTAGAGAGCTGCTAATAACTAGTTTACAGCGAGGAACGTAGGCCTACAAACCGCTTGTCTGGTTCGAGGACCAGATGTAACTAACTACCTAAGTACCGAATAGTCTTCGAATTTCTTACTAGAAGGATGGCTAAGTATCAACGTTGTTCTCTTCTAATCAAGGTCTCCAACGCCTGGCTAGCTGCTTTTTAAAGCCCTCTAGGTCAACCAACGTCCCTCCAACACGAAATTTGCCGGCCATATATGGATCAGGATTGGGTGGGATAATCATCCGGACGTGCGATATACCGCACATTCCCTCTGGCATTACACCGTCTTTTGCAACTCGTTCGCATGACTCGCAGAACAACATCATCCCAAGACAATAGGTGCAGACGTAGACGATGTCGTCTCCTCGAAGCAGCTTCTGGCACCCATTACATCCCCCGATGTAAGGCTTGCCATCAGCGGTGCCATGGCCATTTTCTCTCCTGTCTTTTCCAGCTTGGGTCTCCATGGAACCATTGAGAATGGCTACTAGGCAATAAAAAATAGGAATGACAAGCTCATCCTCCCCAGTTGCCAGGAGTACCTCCCTAAGGGTTTTGTAGGCGAATATATCATTTCCCAGGTCATCGCCATTAGACAATAATTCAAGCGCGGAATTGATTGATGGTCGAAAACAGGCATCCGCATCCTCCTTTCTGCCCTGCAGGCGATACCACAGTCCAAGGCGAATAGCAGCCTTATTTGCGGAAAACGATACGGAGGAGCCGGTGCCATGAGGGCTTGACTCTTGTTTCGCCAATTGCTCTAAATTCTTGACATCGTTTTCTGCATCCTGGGAGCCAATGCCCGCTTGCCACAGCTTTCGGCTATAATGAACGGCTAGCCTGTCTGTTGCCGCATCTTTGACGAAGAATACTGCACTTCCCAGTCTGGGTTCTGCAAAGGTCTCAATGAGCTTGTTCCATATCCGGATAGCCTTGGCTTGTTCGTTTGTATATATGTAATATAAATCAGCAAGGCAAAGCTCTAGCTTGCTTGATTCAACCGAAATCAACAGTTTTCTTGTCACACGGATCGTGTCCCGGCAAGCGTCGATGAGAAATTCGACCTCCCCGGTTTGCCTTGCGGCACGCGCGACGAGTTTGAAGTAATCCGAGTCCACCTCAAAATTGATATACACAAAGGCAGCTAAATAAGAGTACTCCCCAGTGGGGATCATCTTCCTTTGCATAGCCTTCAGCGTCGAAATGATATCATCGCAGAGGTCTTGAGCATCCATCAAAAGTAGGAGCTGGCAGATACATTTGTTGCATTGAGGAGAAACGTTGTGGCCTTTCTGATAGTTTTTTAGCGCATTTGCTGTATCTCCCAGTTTGGCGTAACATTCAGCCGTCCGTTCATGGATTGCATGAAGATACTTATTCATCTCAGATGGGCTCCCTTGCAGTAACGAAGTATCTTGTTGAGTTTCGGATAATAGTGATTCATGCAGTTCAATAACCTTCTCATACTGCCCTAACTGGAAATATGACGTTGCCATACCTCCACGCGAGAGCCACAGCGTAGTGTCAAGGTCCAAGGATTTGTTAAAGTATGTCAACGACTCTTCAAACAAGCCTTTGTCACGCAGAGTAACGGCAACCCTCCGATACCAATTAGCAGTTTTCTCCATATCAAATCTCTCAGCTGTGGAGATTATCTTCGCAGCTGAGTTGCAACCTTCATGCTGCAGCTCTATAGTTCTATCTTTTAGGCAAAAATAGTTGAAAGCCATGTCACAGCAAGTTATGGAATGCCCCAGTAAGTCACCAATCCAGTATCGTTGGACAAGCTGGATTAATGGCTTAAATGTTTCTGCGGGAGATTCGGAAGTTGATTTGATAAATTCTTGATAGCCAGGGGGTAAGAAAGGCACAATTTGCTTGTCGTCCAACCATTTCCTGACCATGTCAAGGTTAACAGTGGATAAAAATGGTGGCCCGACGGTGAATATCCAGAATTTCATAGTACTTTGTTGGGTAAACATTCGGCACAACAAAGAGGCTATCTGTGCCTTTTGCGGAATGGTAATGGTTGAGGCATCAAGCATATGGAGATGTTTCGGCCAGTTCCTAGCCGCATAATATCGCAAGCTTGCGGCTGTATCATCTGCCTTCATCATGGATTCTTCATCACACGAAATGTCAAGAGATGACTTTGTTGAAGCACCAAGCATACGGACGTTTTTTGACCAATTCCCATCCTCGTTGTATCGCAAGCTTGCGGCTTTATCCTCTGAATTAATCATGGCCTCATCACCACACAGAATCTCAAGACATGTCTTCGTAACGTTAAATTCAGCAGCCTTAATATCAACGCCGATACTGGGATATCCATCTCCTGCCGAAATCTTACCCTTACCGCCCCGAAAGAAATCTCCTAGAGATGAATGGCAAAATGTAACCGTTGTTGTGTCTAGATTGGAGTCAAACTGAGTTGTATCATCGGTATCCTCGAAGGACTGCTCCTCTTCGCTTCCATCGATATCTTCTTCACCATCCGAGTCGACAAGGTTTGGATTCATGAGATGTAACTCCGCGGTAGTCAGGCCATCTTCGCGATTAAGGCTGAAAAATGAAGCAAATTGTCTCCGAAGGGGCCCTTCAAGATAGATCATACCATCTCCGTCTGGAGATTTGAGTTTCATGATCGTATCAAGTTCTCTCAGCGTCAGTGGCCACTGCGCACATGTTACCCAAGCTAGCAATTCGTTCAAGGCCTCTGGATAATCGTCAAGAAGGGTTAATGAGAAACTCGTCAGGACGTGTGAGAGCATTTCATCTAGCCCACGAGGCGCACAATCCAAGGCCTCGCGGATCGCTGACTCGCTTCTTTTCTTCAACAGCTCTTTCAACATTAAATGAACCCAAATAAACATGCCTTGGGCCCTATCAGAGAGTTTCTTGACAATTTCAGCTCGTAGCTTTCCTGAAACTCTTCTAAGAATGTTTGATTTTCGGATATTATTCTCAATGTAACGAATAATATCAGTTGAGTTTTTACTTTCCGTGATATAGATCGTAGGGACATCCTCCACTTCAAGGGCGTCTGAAATAAGATCGCCGAGTTGAGGCCTTCCAACTATGACCAGCTGAATTCGAGGATGATCAGACACTTTAAAGACGTCAGTTGATGGCTGGTTCCTCCAAAATTATCATTTGAGCTTTAGATAAGAGAGAATGACCTACCTTCATTTATATCTTTAACAAGCTCAAAAAACGGCTGTATTTCAGCTTCGAATGCTTCATCAACGCCATCGAGGAGTAAATAAACACTGCTAGTTCCGTCTAGCTTTTTGATGAAGAAATTGACGAAAAGTGTTCGCCAGGCACTTTCGATGGTGCTAATATCTTCGGCTGTGATGGCACTTGTCACAATGTATTTTGCGTAAACTGGGTCATTTTGACTGATTTGGTAGGCAATGTCACAGAGTGCTTGGTGAATAGACCTTGTTGTTGGGTTGTCATCTTTGAAGAAGAAATATCCCACTGAGACACGAGACGAGTGGTGGACAAGCTGTGGATACAAGCCATTGAGATAGGATATCATGTTGGATGCGAGGTAAGACTTTCCAGCTCCAGGGTTACCAGAGACTCGTAGAATAGGTATCCTTCTTTCTACCAAGGATATAAAAAAGGGCTCATTTCTGATCCAATCTCCAGTATCCTTAACTCTGGACTTGCTGATCTTATCGTACCAGTCATAAGCAGTAACCGAAGGCTTGAGTGCCCCTTTGATAAAATCTTGGTCCCTTCTGTCTTGTTCAGCTTTTGACATATCGTTTGACGACGCCGCCTCATGTATAAGGCTATTTAACTTTTGGTTTATGTCTGTGACATTGACGCTGATTTGAGAAACTGAGACGCTAGTTTTGTCTACAGTCATGCTCGTAGCAGCGAGATTGATTGCAACGTCATCAACGGCTCGGCTCGTTTTCTTAGTCTCCGTTAACGTTTCAGCACCCACAAGGCGATGCTCAGTTTCTGTAAGTTTGGCTAGTCTTCCAACTGCAGCCTGGATCTTGTCGTCGTTACCGATTAAAACATTTCTTGCAAACTTGAGGAACCTGCCGCCTTTGATCGCCTTTCTAGATAGGGCAAAAACCTCTATTAGAACAACGAGGATATCACTGAGATGTTTGCTCAATTCGTTTGAAATAATCTCACGGTTGTATATGCGTAACCGAACCGTGAAATTCTAGTTTCTTTCATATTAGCGAAATAGCAATCTAACTCTCTCTGGGGGTCATACCTCAAGCGAGTCCATCAAGTCCTTAATAGCATTGTAGGAGGCAGACACTCCTTTGGCAGCATCCATTAGGTAAAGAACTGAACCAAACACCAGAGAACTTGGAGGGAAAGCTATGGAGGCTGCACCGGACACAAGATGTCCAACCAGCTCGATAGGCTTGAGAGCACATTCTAGTGCATCGAATAAACCGTGCCTGGTGGCTCTGAAGTCATCGAATTTGCCATTTTCCTTTTCGATTCTATCGAACAAAGCTTCCGTGGATGTGATTTCAAGCAACGTGGGATCAAGTAGTGGCTTTTTGGTGATTTCCTCATACTTCTCGATTGCTTCCTTGTAGATGGTAGGGATCTGGTTGTTTTCTCTGCCCATAGTGGATAGGGGCCAGCTGTTGGGGTTTTTTCTTCAGCAGAAAGGAAGTTATGTTCCAATGGACGACTTATTTTGCGATAGTTCATCATTCATATCGACATCTTCATGAGCACTTCATTGCGGACAGGGTATTTATGTATATTGGAGAGACAAGCTCACCCCACCAACTGCCCTTGGCAGGAGCCCGGGCGTACACATGATAAGATTAGATTGGACAAAACTGAATCCTTCGCGGATGTCATGCTGCATGCCTTTTACCTCCACTGTCATGAAGGATGCGAACAAGGCTGGTAACGTCCACCTCTGTCGCACTACTCTGCCGCGGAAGGATCTGAGCCTAATAAGTACCTGAATGGATAACCAGGTAACAAGTGAGTAGCTAGCCAACCCATTAGCTGACTCGTGTAATGGCATCGTATTCGGCTTGGCTAGCTAGGTAGTTCCTGGAATCGACTTCGAGATTTAACTGATGTGTCGCTTGCAAAGAACGACCTTTGTCGTCCTTGAGTTGACGTTGGAACAACCTACTTACAGTATATGGAACTGGCTGCTAGCTGGCTAGTAAACCACTCACCACAGCTCCCTTGCATCAACCAGCATTGATGGTTTAGTGGTAAAATCCGTCGTTGCCATCGACGGGCCCCGGGTTCGATTCCCGGTCGATGCACTTCTTTTTTTACATTTTATTTTTTCCCTTATCTAAAATGACGCAAAACCTCTTTTTTTTACTTATTTCTTTTTAGACTTGCGAAATACGTATGAGAGGCGAGATTTATTGCTTTTATTTATTTGTATATTAAAAGTACTTAACTACGTACTGTTTTGCTACACCGTACATCTCCTGAAGTCAGGCAGACAGAGACTTGATTGTTGAATTGTATAAAAAGAGAAGCAAAGGAGTGAGTAACAAAGGGGCAACTAACTCCGGACACTCAGGCATAGGCAAGAAGACGTGACAGAGGTATGGGTGAGTGATATAAGATATGAGGGAACCGTGACGTATAACTGTAGGTATAATGGGAAGGCAGGAAGGTACGTGGGTAAGAAAGGAGACAGGAATAAGAGGAGATGAGTATGAGTACGATCAATAGACAGACGCCGTGATGCCCATGAATGAATAATGTGGATGTGTTAATGTTGAAAACCCCGTATAAAATGGTGAAAAGACAGCTGGGAATGGAAAAGCAGAATTTATTTCAAGTAATCGTCAACAACGTTGATAAACGCCCCTGCGCCGCCGTCTTCGCTGAGTTCGCTTATGAGTGCCTCGGTCTGCTGGTACAGCCGTTCCAGTGTTGCGGAGGAGGATTTCCCCAGTGATACTATGGTCGATTAGTTAGCCAATGTAATGGGAAATAAGTGTCATGGGGCAGACGTTACCTAAGATGGCAGAGTTCAGTTCCTCTGCTACTGCAACTCGACCGCTGGGATCCAATAAGTGGCCGTGGACAGAAGTCTTGGGGTCCGCGTAGGCTACTAGTGAGAAGATGTCGTCTAGGGTCTTCTTGTGCTCTTTCTTATCGTCATCAGGGTAGTCGGCTTGTAGCTGCTGGCCGTACAGGATAGCTTCGTGCAAAAGATCCTGGTCCTTTTTCATAGTCATAGCTTCGTTGTTCGCATTGTTGTTAGTGTTGCTGGTGTCGGTATCCATCATGTCGCTAGCGGTGATTGTTTCATTGGTTTCGACATCAGGCATCTGGTCGTCAACTTCCATGTCAAGTGTGAAGGCGCCTGATGTGGTTTTGGCAGGGTCGGACAGGCCGTTTGATGAACTAGTCGTGGCGGGCTGCGGTTCGGTACAGCGGCGCATCATCTCAATGAACTTTCTGCACCGTAATCTGAAATGGATGTGTGGGTTGCTCCCGAGGACGTTCGCGTAGTGGACATTCGTCAGCTTTAGAGCCCTATCAATGTCTCCTTCTAGTATGGCAGTTCGGATTTCTATATAAGGAGTTAATAAGTGCCATTTCTCGCGAATAGATTGGGCCAGGCTTACTCTGTCTGTTAATAGCATCTATATCGTCTTCGACCTCGAGCCCCTTCCAAGAAACCTCTCCAGAACTCTGCAAAGCGCGCTTTTCATCCTGTACTTCCTGTGCAAATATCTTTGCGGTTTCTACATATCCGTCATGCGCGAGGAACTGGGCAATAAGTTTCTGCATGAATTCCGATTCATCTAGCGTAGGATGCAAAGTAGATAACTCTGTCATCTGGATGCTCCGCTGGACATGATATTTTTCGTCCTACGCAATCTCCGATTAGTACTGCTACAATCATCAAGCTCACGCAAAGGTAGGGAGTTGGACAACATACTTCCATCATTTTGTCTATGTCGAAGATGAATGGGAACTGGCCAAAGTTTGCTCTGACATGGGCGCCAGGCTGCTTTCTCATTCCTACACATGGATATAACTTTGCAGGCTTCAGATCGCGGAATGCATTTCCTACAATGGCCATTAGCATGGAGTTCTAGACCAAATGTAAGTCATAAGCAGAGAGACGATATAAACTCACCGAGGAATGAGCCGTTCTTTGTAAAAAAAGCACTTCCTGTAGAGAACACAATGCCGCATCCAATTGTATCATTGACGGTAAACGTAGGCCCATAGCTCCTACCCTGACTCTGGTTATCACCGAAAAACGTCTTACCGTCATCGCCATGGTACGCCCATGATTCCTGCTCCCAGCCTGGAAGTCTTTCCAGGGAAGCCTTGTTGTTTGAGAAGCCCACGCCAATCATACTACTAAACTGTTAGCAAGTCCTTCCTGTTTTTTTTTGTGTTCGTCTCATAGAATTAAACGCCAAATGAATTGAGTGGCCCGACGTACCCGTCTTTTGGTTTGGCGAGAATAGTGACTTCAAAGTAATATAAGCCACACTTGACGGGCATGGGCTGATCGGCTCTCACGGCTGCAGCATCATGGTCCTGTTTAGGCACATGGCCAATATACCGTACTTCTAGTCCTTCTCCCAACAAATCTAGGCCGCTGTACTTGTCGCCTTCGTTCCAGCGCGAAGGCAGTGGCGTAAGCTGCTGTCCCTCCAATGGTGCAGCGGAGTCGCTACCCGGACCATGGCTTTCAACGATATCGTATGTCATTCCTCTGTGCGAGGGCGCCATGCGATGCAAGTTAAGCTGACTGGAGGAAGCGGATAGAGGGAGGGCGGAGGCCGAGGAGAGGTGCTGGGCAGATGAGCCGGAGGTAGGCGTGTGCTGGATTTGCGGTTGAGCATCTCGTTGGGAGGAGAGTTTTGCCTTATGAGCTGCGTATAGCTGCGCGACGTATTTCGACGAACGGAGGTATGAAGGGGTGAAGAAAGAGTCTTCTGGGTTTTGTTGGTAAATCGAATGGTTAAGACCATAAGGCAGAGCGTTCAGGTCCGTTTGCTCGAGCAGTTTCTCGAATTGCTTTGAGTACGAAGGGAGCTGTCCCATGCCCATGCCCATGCCCTGGCTTTGCTGGAAGGAGAGGTTTACATTCGGTCTCCGCCAGCTGTTTGCGGCTGTGCCTGCGCCAGCACTGCTGCCGTTGGTCTGCTGCTGCATAGTTGCGGGATCCGTGGGGATTGCGGAAGGAGAGAAAGGATCTTGGTTGCGGGATCTCGAGGAGGAGGGATCTTGGATGTGGCTGTTATTGTTGTTGGTGCTAGACGAGGCGGTTAGACTTGAGCGGAACGCAGACGGAGAAAAGTGGTCGTCGTGCTCGTGCTCTGCTTGACCTGGCTGGCGCGACAGGACGGAGGCGTAGGAGGACCTGCGCGTGCGATAGATGGTAGGGATGGCTGTGGTTGGTAATGGGTAAGGGGAAGCTGGAGCTGGAAGGCCAGTGCCGGAGCCACTGCCAGCTCCGGTGCCAGCGCCTGTACCAGCTCCAGAACCGGAGCCTGGTACACTGCTCATGATGGCCGTGACAGTGCTGTACACCGATGTCTCTGATGCTGATGTTGCTGATGTAGGATATCAGGAGTCCGTACCTTGGTGAGAAGCTATGGAGCACGCCGGAATAGTCAGTAAAGGCACTCAGGAGAGAGAGGGAGAAAAAAACAAGACAGGTACCTGTCAGTATTGCTTGCTTGACTGACTATTTTACCTACCTTGCTGCTACCCTCTGCTTTTTCTTTTTCCTGTCGTCTGCCTCTTTTACCTGTCTCTGTTGTGGTACGGTGTCACTGGTCCAGCGTGTGAGCGACTCTGAGCGTGTGTGTGCAGTTATATGGGTGTTTGTGCGAGAGTGAGTGTCCAGCAGCAGTAAAATAGAGACCACCAGCTCGATATTTCTTCTTCTGCTTTCTCTTTGAAGCTGGCTGCTTACTGCTTGCTGCTTGCTGCTTGTGCTTATCGATAGTTAACTAGTTAGTTGGTTAAATAGCTAGCTGTGGGCAGCATAGCCCCAAGCAAGCGCAGGAGTGGTGCGTAACTATGCCGAGTCTGAGCAAAAAGGAGCTGCAGACAGACGATGTATACAGTCGAGTGATAGCACGTTATGACGGCATGGCTGGGTGCTTGCGTACTCTGTCTGGTTGCAGGCGTAGTTATTATATATCGTGCAGGTAGTTACGGCGGTGGATGTTGTTTTTCTGAGGGGAAAGAAGGTAAGCAGTCAGTCCGGGGTCGACGGTTAGCCGTGGTCAAGGGTGCAGCGCTTCAGCAGAAGGACAGCTGGGGAGAAGGCGACTCGAGACCTACAGCGAAGAGATGAGAGGCGAAAGCTGCCTTGTTTCTTCTCTGCTTCTTCTGCTTCTTCTGCTTCTGCTTCTGCTTCGTGAAGCTCACCGGAAGTTGAGTTGACGTTGAAAAGCCAAAAAAGAAAGCTACAAGCGGACGAAGTAGAAGGACGTCGGGATGGTCACATGAGCAAGGGTAGACGGGACGGGAGCCAACTCACACGATCAGCAGAAGTAGAAGCAGAAGAAGGTATTTACATGGATGGAGGAAGAGGAAGCGGTAGTAGGAGCAGTCAAGTAGTTATCTGGATGCTGTCTTTAAGGAGGCTCGAGGGCCGACTATCTAGAAGTACATGGTAGAAGTAGAAACTCAGGAGACCGACCCAACCGACCGCGCCCGTATCCATTAGTAGTAGCTGTTTTGTATTGTTGCATTGCACCTGGCAGGAAAAGACGAAGAAGAAGTAGTAAAAGAGAGTAAAAGAACCGAAAGATCCAGACCGAACAACCCAAGACGCCGGGGGTAAAGTGTAAGTTGTAAGTGTGGTATAAGGGGTAGAAGAGGAAAAGGAGAAGATGGATAATGTACAGTAAAAAAAAAGGGGGTTGAAAAAGAGAGACAGAGAGAGAGGGTATTATTCAAGAAGCAACGGCGACGGGAGCAGGAGACTCGATGTCCATCATGCTTCCAGCAGGCGTGGGGTCTCTCTCAGCTTCACCGTTGGCCTCAGCAGGATCAGCAGTGCTCTTCTCGCTCTTTTCACTCTTTTCGCTCTTCTTGTCTTTCTCCTTGTCTTTCTTCTCTCCATTGGTTTCTTGTTTCTCTTTCTGCTTCTCTTCTTCTTCCTCTGGCGTTGGCTTGGGGCGAGGTGGTGCCCCCCAGCTAGGAACCTGCCACAGCACGCCGGTGAAGGACTTGAGCTGGAAGGACTTTCGCTCCCACTTGCGACAGGGCTTGCCTGAGCGATCTAGAGCACGTAGACAGGCGTTGATGGCTCCTTGGTTGGCTTTGGGCCCCAGACGGTGGTGAGCAGGAGGTGGTGGGCGAGAAGGGGTCTCTCCATCCTCCCTGTATCGTCGTTAGCATACGCTTCTTTCATCTTCTTAATGTTATATACATGTATATAAAGGGGATGACAAAGGCAAGCCAACTTACAGTCTTGGTTTCTTCTTGGGACCAGGCTTGCCTCGTGGTTTAGGGAGGCCATCTGGCCCTAGAGCCGGAGCACCTCTCTTGGCCCCTGCCTTTGCTGCGCCAGACCCCGAGGCCGGTGCTGAAGTAGGCCCGTTGGCAGCAGCAGTGGCCGAGCCAGAGACGGAAGCCGAAGGAGTCGAGGGCGCAGCACCGGCGGTGGTCGAGGCAGCGTCGCCGTCTGAGGCGTTGTCGGTGAGAGGAGCTGGCGGCGTCGAAGGCGAGCTGGACTCGTCCTCCTTGTTGGCCTGGCTGTCCTCGCTGGCGGTGCCATTGCCGCTGCTGCTGACGCTGGTGCCGCTGATGCCGCTGGGGAACCGGCTGAGCATGGCTGGCGGCAGGGAGAAGACGACTATCTTCCTCGTCTTGGAGACGCTGCTGCTGCTGGCCGTGCTGGCCGAGCTGAGAGCTGGCTGCGAGGAGGTCGACGAGGTGACTGAGCCGGCCATTGTGCAGTGCAGTGCAGTGTAGTGGTGGGCAGAGTTTTCCGGTCCCGGCGTGGCTCGCAGGCGTTGGTGTATTTATATTATGATTATTAGTTTTTGGCCCGTCTCCGGCGAGATGCGGAAGAAGGAGTCGACCGGCTCTGGACAGGCAGGTGATTAAGTTAGGGGGCCGCCCGTCGGCGTTGGCGATGGACACAGTCGAGCAGGCGAGGGCGCAGAGCAGAGGGAGTGAGCAGCAGCAGTGGTGATGGTGGTGGTGGTGGTGGAAGGGGAAGGGAGAGAGGAAGAAGGAGACGGGGAGGGAGAAGGCGAAGGGAAGAAGAAAAGGTGGTTTGAGTGTGTCATGGTGGCCGGCCGGTGGTGGTTGGTTTTCGCTTGTCCTTGTCCGCGCATCCGTCTCACTAAACTACTAAGGAGGGAGAATGACTTAATGACTTATTTTTTTTGCTTGGGTGGTTCTTGAAGAGCAAAAGGCAGCGTCAAAGGCAGGAAAGACGACGGGAAGGAGAGAAGGCGAAGGGAGGCGGCGAAGTGGAGGACAGGGTACGGTACGGTCACGCAGGGCGGCTTAGTCAGGGGTGCAGCCAGTCAGGGGGCGGCGTGCGTGACGGCTAGGCTGCTTTGGGGGCTAGCGGTCTCGCGGTTACTAGCGTATGTGACAGGGCTAGAAGGGCTGAGTAAGGGCTGATAAATAGACTCTATGCTTATATGCTTATGTAATGGATTATATAATACAGAGAAAACGAGAGAAGCGGCGAGATGACATCTACGACTGAGATGACAGCTACGACTCTTGCTCTTGCTCTTACTACTGCTCTTCTTGATGCTGCTGCTGCTGCTGCTGCTGCTGCCTCTTCTCCTCTTTGGCGAGGGCGACGGCCTGCCGCACCTCAGGAGCCTGTCGGACCGCGTCTCTCTCCAAGCGCTCCTTCATCTCTCGCCGCAGCCTGCTTACCCCCTCCTCGTCGCCCTGGAAGGGCAGCATGTCCATACCTAGCAGCTTGGCGCCCTCTGCGTCTTGTGCCTGAGCCAGCTGCATGATCTGCGTCAGCTGTTGCTGCGCCTGCACGCTCAACCCTTCGCTCCCTCGACCCTTGCTCCGGCCAGACGACTTGGACTCTGGCGGCGCCAGGTATGAGATGAAGATGTTCAGGGTCATCGAGGCCGAGCGGGCAATGGACAGTATCTGGAAGGGCAGCAGGTAAAAGCTGTCCAGTCCCAGGAGCCAGCTAAGGGTCGGCGGCAGGTAGGCGGAGGGAATGAAGGTTGCGTTGGGATGCGTGAGCAGCGCCAGCTCAAGCGTCAGCAGTGCAAAGAACATGTAGAACCGCCACTGCAGGAAGTCAGCCAGAGATCTCATAAGAGGTGTATTAAAAAAGAAAAAAGCAACTTACGTATCTCCCCCAGGCAGAGAACCAGAAGATGTTGAGAAGTATCATCACCAGAAAACCAATAACGTACTGCGGTGCGAGTGCAAAAAGGCCATCGTAAAAGTAGGTGGCCATGCTCAGCGTCTTGCCTAGTTCTCCCGGCCTGTCCACCACATCGGGCCCGAACCGGTCATACGCAAACCTCTTGACTGGGTCCAGCAGCGTGTCCTGCGCCAGCTTCAGCTTCACGAAGAACATATCGACGGCTGCCGCCGCAGCCTCATCCGTCACATTTCCTAACGCCGACCTTATGCCATTCTGTTTTACCTTGTCTGGATGGAACACGGCAGCCAGTCGTCGGAAATGTGATTTTATGGTTCGCTCGTCGGATGTAGGCAGTACTTTCAGTAGACTGTAGAAGTCTCCGGCGACTCGGAGGCTGTGATAGTCCTCATAGATGGTGTACAGCAGGTAGCTGCTTATCACCGCGATGTGGATGCGCCGGTTGTGTCGACTGTGGCGGGCTGAGCCAGGTTGAGGATGCGCTGTACCAGCCCGGATAGTAATACGGTAGTAAAGGTTTTGCAGGAACGATGTCGCTAGCTAGGTAAGGGTGGCTGTTAGGTTACCAAGTCATAACACTCCTGAGAGGAGAGGAGGGAGGGGTCTTCTTACTCCTGGCAGAAAGGCCCAGCCTGCATAAGAAAAAACTCTAGATACTACATCCATCCTGTAGAGAAGGTTGACAATACGAAAAGAAAAAAAAAAGGAAGAAGAAGAAGGAAAAATGCTAAACGGTGTCCATTTTAAAACCCTGTTTCACTGCGCTTCTCCCCCTTGTTCAATTGCTCTTGATGCCACGAAACATCAAAAAGAGAAAACAGCCGGCGGCTAAAAGTTAGGATGGGCGCTTCCCGTCTTGGCGCTAACCGCCAGCCAAGAACCTTATTTTCCTTTTTTTTTTTAAACCTTTTCAACTCAGCAGTAATTTCTCCCAGCGATCAGTGCGAACGAACGGCAAAAGGCACTTATCAATTGACGGCCGGCATGTCGATGGATACAATGGAGATCGACTCGATAACGTCGCCGGAGAAGAAGCGCAAGGACAAGAGCGAGTCAAAGAAACGCAAGAGACAAGAGCAGACGGGAGAGACCGTCGCTGTAGACGACAGCGAGAAGAAGAAAAAGAAGAAAAAGGACAAACACTCAAAAAAGGATGAGAAGCGACCCGTAGAAGACGGCGGAAGAGAAAGAGACAAAGAAACCTCCCGAAAACCGCTGTCAAAGTCGACCTCGAATGATAAAGATACCCATTCCCTCTCCTCAGCCGCAGACCAGCTCCCTTCTTTCCACAGGGTGACAACAACGCTCTACCTCCCCCTCTCGCCCATCGCCATATCACCCACCCATGCCGTGTCTTCTTTGCTGGCAGAGCACGTCTCCCCTCTACTTCTAACCTACTATCCTCCCGTCCGTGGCGTGGTGCTCGCTTACTCCAACCCTTCCATCTCAGCCACAAAGCCTACCCCGACTTCAACCTCGACGTACACACCCAACCCGGAACCGCTCACCCTTGCCAAAACGGCCGGCGAGTATGGTGTCCTACACACCTATCTAACTCTCACCTTCCTTGTCTTCCGCCCCGAGCGAGGCCAGACGCTCGAGGGCTGGATTAACGTCCAATCCGAAGACTTCCTAGGCGCAATCGTATTCAACTTATTCTCCATTGGCATTGAACGGCGTCGATTGCCGGCAGATTGGAAGTGGATTGCTCCAGGCCAACAGCCGGATAAGCCTAGCACAACCAGCACATCACCTACATCAAGCAGCAAGGACGAAGAGGATGAAGACGACGATGAACCGGATTCAGATAAAGAGAACTTCAAGCCTCTAGCGTCGAATAGTGAGGCATCGCAGTTTGAAGACGCGGCGTCGGCTGAGACAGGGTATTTCCAGACTCGCTCGGGTAAGAGGGTTCGTGGAACTATCCGGTTCCGTGTTCGGGATGTCGATGTTATACCGGGTAGCGAGCGAGATAAGGGCTTCCTTAGCCTTGAAGGTACAATGTTGAGTAGGGAGGATGAGGAGAAGCTTGTTGCTGAAGAGCGGAGTAAGGCATCAGGTGCAGGGAGGGCAAAGGCCGGTGACAACTACCATGATCCTACATCTAGAGAGCGCCAGGAAAGGGAACTTGTGGATGTTGATATTGATGCCGATGAGGACGAGGATGTGAATATGGCAGAGGCTGTGGAGGTGCAACCTTCGACAACTAAAGAGAAGAAAAAGGACAAGAAGGAGAAGAAGGAGAAGAAGAGTAAAAAGGAGAAGAGCTCCAAGTCATGAGATTTATCACTTTTTCCAATATGAATTGATCTTTTACTTGCCTATTCTCGTCAAGACCTGGTACTTCCCTTGCTTATGTAATCGATACTGGTCAATCCTACGCTGATTCCACGAAGAAGCAGCAATCATCGACACAACTCCACGAAACAATTGACGATGACCTTTATATAAACCAAGTCGAACGAGGCAGGATAAAATAATATAAAGGAAACAATAACCGCAATAATGCCGCCTACAAGTCAAGAACTTTCGCTCCTTATAAACCCCCTCGTCCCAGAATCAGTCACACATAACAGCCGGGTACCTACCTCCACCCAGCTTCCATCCATAATACTTAACCAGACCAGAGAATACTAACGGCGAACCCAGATACTCGCAAACCTTCATTCCCTCATAGCCTTCCTACTAGGCACGGCAGCCGGTATCCTCGGCCTCCAGTCCGCGTACGGCTTCACATTCTACTTGCTAGGCACAATATTTGTTTCCTTCCTGGTCCACGGCCTGCTAGTGAAAGACAACACCACCCCCAGAGCAGCAGGGAAAAGCACGAATAAAGGCGTTTCTGGTGTTGGTGCCTACTTCCCGGGCGATGGGGAACTAGTTCCCGTGAGCGGTGGTGGGTATGTGAGAAAAGGAGCCTGGAAGGATCTGTGGTTCAGCGGACTGGTTGCTACAGAGGCCATTAGCGGGTTTGTTCTTGGATGGGCTGGTGTGGGTGGTGTTTTGAGATAGACAAAAGATGAGTGTGGGTTATTTGTTCTAATGATATTGGATACAGCAGATGTGTGAGAGAAGAAGCGCTTTGGCGACCAAGTCAGCCATTCATACCCAAATGATACCAAACAACTAACAATTTGGCTATTGCTAAACGTCGTAAAAAAGATATTAACCGTGTCAATCACTTATCATAAACATGATCCAAGGGTTCTTTCCCATCTGATCAATTGCATGAGGCAGCTGCTTCGCGCGCAGCAATGAAAGCTTCCATGTGCTCTGTATAATCCACCGCGCCCTCGAGATGCTGCTTCCCAATGATATAATGCGGCACGCCCCCAACCTTGCCAGTGGCCCTCATCTCTTTTTCTTCTTGTTCCACCTCAACTATCCCCTTATCACTGACCAGCCAATCGGCAACTTCGTCCTCGTCCAGTCCAGCCTTAACAGCAGCCTCGACAACAACATCCATCTTGCTGATGTCTTCTGCCAGCTCAAACTGGTAGCGGAAAAGCTGCTCGGAGACCTTACATTGCATCTCACTGCCTTTCTCGAGGTACACGAGATGGAGTAACTGATGCGCCAATCTGGAGCTGCCCATACGTCCCTCAAAGTTGAAGTGGATGTTAGATTGCGCTCCAATACGCGTGAGGCGAGTCTGGTTAGCTTCCACCACCTTGGGGTCTTTTGAACGACGAAGCATTCGCTCTGTTCTCTCGGTTAGTAGAAGTGCTTCACCTTCCGGCGACGGAGGACGGGTATAGCGTTGGGGATAGTGTGTATACCCGATATCACCTCGCTCTCCGCTGGAGGCTCCTTGTCGATAAAGTATGGCTTCCAGACGATTTCAAACTCATCTTTAGAGCCACCTGGGTATGTCTTCTGGTAAAGGCTGATCGCCCGCTCAAGGCTGCGGTAGCCGATGTAGCACTATCGCCCTAGTCAGCTATTTTTGCGGGGAAGACGACGCATGTAACGGGGACTGATGTATAGTTATCTAGTTACCCAGGGACAAATAACGTCCGACACGATGTGGATTGTGATAACCGCCATGCCTTCCTGCTGCTGCTGCTTACTCGGTCCTGGAGAAGTCTGAGAAGTGCAGTGCGGAGATATGCAGAGATCGAGTTATGCAGACGTAAATACGGCCCTCGAGGAAAAGGGGGGGGTTTTACTTCGTAATATTTAGTTAGCCGGACGAACTAGTTACAATGCAGATGCCTAGAGACGGATCCTTCGCATTATCTTGGGCCTCTCGCACATCCTTGGGGCCAGCAGCCCAACCGTGGTACAGCAATGTATATATGGAGTAGATGTCCGCCATGTACATCGTCTGGGCAAAGGGCGAAGTTGTCATCGCGGCTTGTGATTCTCAAAGTATCCGGATAAAGCCCTATGCCTTGCCATCAGGTACAGGAGTTAGTTTATTTCAACAACCTTAGGGTGAAGGTAAGCATCAGCCTGGCTGAAAAGATACCGGTTTACAGCAACACGCCGTCGTTCCTAGAAATCCGTGAATAGCGTGGAATGTAAAGGGCTGCTCCTCTATAACGACCGCCTAGGTAGTTACCAACGATGACCCCGCCCGAGATGTAGCTACATCTATACTTCAAGGGGTACATGCAGCCGCAGTAGCCAATTACATGACTGGCTATAGTAAGTTACTTGATGATGGAGTCAAAACGGAACAATGCAATTATATTAACGAATGATGGACCTCCCGTACTGTCCTATATACTATATATACAATATTGAATAATAAAAACAAATGAAATGACTCTATAATATGTACTAAGGGTATATGCCGCTCTCAAAAAGAAATGCAATGAACGGAGGGTATAATTATTACGGAGAAGCATTTTCTGGATCCACAACTCCGGCTTTGTGTTTCTTAAGGGCTCGAAGTCTGTTCTTCTCCTCAAGCACGGCATGAGCTTGTTTCTCTTTCTCTGCCTTTGAAAGAGGGGTGCTGATATATTTGTTGGCTTCAACAGTACCCTGGTGGAAAAAGGGGTCAGTGATGCAAACTCAGAAAGGAACAGGATTGCTGTTGGATGCTTACCGTGATAAGAGCCCACAGGAAGGGTACCTGAATGACCTCGCTGCTAATAATAGCTTCGCCGACCTTTCCATCCTCCACAGCTTTCCTCTCAGCTTCCTCCTTAGCCTTTTTGGACTTGATCCAGACGTTTCCAAGGAAAAACACGGCCACCAGGCTGATCGCCATGATAGGAATGATAGAAATAAAGGCCCACATTACAGCATTTTTAGCCAGGTTGCGAACATAATCCTGGACATCTGGGGGTAATTTATCAATTGCCTCCAGACTTTGGCCGGTGTTATGTAGGTCAACGCCACCGCTGCTGCTGCCATGACGAAATACCTCAGCCATCTTGTTATTAAACACACTGCCCATAATGGTCAAAGCAAGTGTTCCGCCGAAAGGCAGACTGAACCTCATAACTGACATGGCAGGCGCAATTCTATCAGGCCAGATACCAGAAACATGTAGCGTAGCAGGCATAAATCGCATTCCTGTGCCAGCACCAGCAACAGCCATCATTCCGCTGACGACAGGGATGTTGCGAGTTGTAGTTGCCCAGGTCAAGAGGGCGATTCCAACCGTTTCGATTACAGTGCCGACACTTAAAGGGACGAATGTTTGTGCAGGCCAAACATTGCAGGTGAACATGGCAAAGTAGACACCAACTATCAGTTGAGGTTAGTTGCATTACTCTACAACAGTAAGCTTGTTAGTATGTATAACTTACAGCCAATTCCAGGGATATAGTAGAGTAACTGAAGGCCGGAACGCCCAGCTTCATAGCCCTCAACAAGCGTAAAGTAGATAGAGATAAAATAGAAGACGGAAAACATGGCTATAGTGTTTTGCAACATCAGTATTTGTTAAATTGGATATTGCAAGGTTTCGACAAGTGGACTTACCAGCGCCAGTTGCAAATTCAATAATGGCCAAGACTATGGTATCTCTATTCCTGATGATGTCGGTGGGTATCATAGGGGACTGCTGAGGGAGCAGGCGGCCAAATATACGCCCTGGTTCAAGCAGATACTCATAGACAAAGAAGAAAATAAACAGGATCGATCCAATCACTAGGGGAGTAAGGACAGCTGCATGAGTCCATGGGTAGGTAACACCTCCCCAAGCGGTACCGAGAATAAGAAGACCAACACCAAAAACAAAGAGAAGAGTGCCGCCAATATCGATAGTGGCCAGGCCAGGTAAAAAGCTGCTGCGTCGAGATCCTTTCGTGAAATGGCTTCCTTGTACCAACTCATTGCGGAGAAGGAAATATATTATAAAATGCGCAAAGAACGCAACCTGGTAGATAGTTTAGCCAGTAGTCTTCCAAAAACTGGACTGGGGAACTCACTGGTATTGTCAAAACAAAACAGTATCTCCAGTTAGACTAACGATTTCATAGTCAGCAACAGATATCCAAAAGTAATTAAAAGCTCCTTACATTTGTTAGATACCTATTCAATTGTTAGCATGAGTAGTAATAAATGTACAGAATCCAAAAGTGAGCTCACCCGCCAATAATGGGCCCTACACTGTAGGAAATTCCAGCAACGAACTGGAAGATGGTACTATTCTTTGCATTATCCTTCAAACTGACTTTATCGGCCAGTATGATTTGGATCAAATTTGTGATACCCGATGCACTTGTTCCTTGCAATGCTCTGCCCAGCAGTAGAACGCCCCATGACGGGGCAACGGCGCATAAAACACTGCCGATGAGCATGAGAAACATTGCCAGCTGCAGAACGAAATGTCGGCCAAAGACATCAGATAGCTGGCCGAAAGCAGGAATGAATGCCGTTGAGGTAAGGGTAAAGGCGGTTACGATCCAGTTGAGTTGGTCCAGCTTATCTATATAAAGTTAGGAGAAGTCCATGACAAACTAGTGAAACCGATGGGGTACATACTGAAGTGAGATGCAATAAACGGCAATGCGGCAGCAACAATGGTCAGGTCAACTGATGCTAGGAAATACGGGAGCAGTAAACCCGCAATCAACTTCCATCGATAGACACGGACATCATGTTTCTCCTTTTTACATAACTCACACGGCCCCGATGTCTGTATTTGGGATTGTTGATTTATGTCGGTTGACTCGAGGGAGGCTTGCGGCTGCAAGGGTTCCAGAGGTATACCTCCCGGGTGAGTATTTGCCTGCTTCGGTTCGTTCAATAACAGCGGCGAGGACAAGTTTTGATTCTGGCTTCCCTGGCGATGTGAGCACAGTTTCTTCTCCTTGTTCTTTTCTGCATTAACGACGGTCTCAGAGCCAGACTGGTTCTCAGCGCGGCGCTTCTTTATTGCTTTATAGATAAGCATTCTGGGCGCTGGGATGGACACGGAAGAGGGTAAAGGGGGAAAGTATGGCCAATTCTATATGAATTGTAGTGGGAATGATCTTGTTGGTATTGTGGTATTTGGATAAAAGTGGTATTCCAAAGGAAAGGGGGATGGGTCTATATACCATCTGACAACAGACCGGATACGAGTAAATTTCCATAATAAGATCCGCTTCAATCACATAGATGATCCCCAAAAGCTTGGTGCGAGAAGTGGATACGAGTATCCCTATGTACAGCCACCGACCGCAGACAGGTCACCACCAACGACCAGCGGACAATCCCTATACATCTCATCCGCAGAGAGGTATAATACCGTCCCAATGAACCATCACGCGCAGGTGTAATTGCCCTGCAGGTTCGCCTTGCTACTTAATATGATAAGGTGAGCACTTGACGAAGTAGATACTTAGAATCAACATGATAATGGCTCGTTGGTATAATGGATAACAAATACGGGGTACTTCGCAACATCCAGGCAGGAACATTATTACTACCACAGCTAAGATAGCCCAACGGGCTCAGCTGATTAACTATCTCTCTATCCTTGAAACATATCAAGAAGAAGCGTGTCATTAGAAGTTGAAACTCGAGAAATCGCAACTCCTACCAAAAGGGGTTAACGATCTCTTTCTGCACAGCCCAGAATGAGGGTCAGTTTGCTGATTAATCAGAATATAAGCTAACCTCTTCTAGTAATCAGTGCGAAGTCAGCAAAGAGCTTGGACCATGTGTCATATATAGTCAACTTAAGGTTTTACGCTAGCTTGAAATGGAAGATAATCGTATTTGGGTCACAGCTGAGCCTCATTTAGGGCAGGAGACAAGAACGAGATAGGCGAAGAAGGTGAAATGGCGATATTGAGAATTAAGCGATAGGTATCCAATAGGTAGACTACAGGTGACAATAAAGGAGCAAAATCAAAGGTATGTAGATAAATATGTATATATATTTCATGCCCCTGATAGTATATAGGGGGTCGAGGTAAATTAAGCGTCCTCGAACGCACCAGGTTAACTCCAAATTCCTCATGTAATCGCTGAGAGGTATTTCCAGACAATATAAAAAATAGACCAAACAAAGTATCTTATCCAAAACCGGAGGGAATAGAACCGACAAAACGACAAGAGAGTATATATAATATAGACAAAAGAAGCAGAAAACGCAATGTCATTCAAACACGAAACTCTATAACCGTATTCGTGTGAAGACTTCTATGCAGCAAATTGGTATCATTGCAGGGCATTAACCGTAGCACTTTGAAGAGCGCTTGTCAGGTCGATGTGGAACATGGGACGGTTCATGCTGTTCACAACAGCACCTCGAGAGCCGCCAACCTTTTCAATTTCCTTGTGGTAAACACCATCCTTGCAGATCTCCACCTGTTCGGTGGTTGTTGCTTGCGAGGCTGGCGTGATAGTGCCGACTTCTTCGTCATGGACTCTAGCGGTATGCTTGGGATCCATCTCAAGCGAGGTAGTGGAGACATTGGATCCATCGACGTTGGCAACGCTGAAGACGGGTTTCCAGCGTGGGGCTGCGATCTCAGCTCCAGCAGGCGAGGTGGGATAACCGAAACCAGCAGCGGCAAGGGCACGTTTTGTCCATCGGTTGTTAATGTGTGCAAAATGCCACTGGACAACATCCGGGGCGGCATGTCGATCAAGCTGCTCTCTGACATCTACCAAGTTCTGTATAGAAGAGACATCGACGTTATTGACGGAAGAGAAGTCCATGATGATAGCCTTGAGCGTTGGCAGGTCAGCAGTTGAGGCTTCGGTCTCGCCACGCTTGGGTCCAGGGTTGTTCCATGGTCTGTCACCCGGACGACCATACGCGTTCGGGTTAGTGCGGCGAGTATTTTCAAGTATATGAGCGACAAAGTCATCAAGATAACTGTTGGAGTTAGGGTAGTTGAATCCTTCAGAAAACTTGTAGATGAAGATACCAGGAAGAGTATGCTCAATCTGGACATCAGGGTTCGAACCATCTTTGTGGCTAAGAGGAAGGAAGACATTGCGGCTGCTGGATCCTCCAGGTATGCCGGTGCTGTCATCAAAAGTGCCATATTTTCCATCATTATCGATGACGTGGTCGCCGATGACAGAGTTGACCTTCACCCGTCCAAGGAATTGACCCTTGGCCTTAACCAGGCGGAAAAGGAGAATGCCCAGGGAGAAAGCAACGGTGGCATAGATACCGTTCTCAATGGTGGAGAAAACGGCAACGAAGACACCAAGAAGGAAGACGATAACCTCAATTGGAGACACTTTCCAGAATTGGTAGACAGCGTTTGGGGGAAGAATAAGGTCGCCAACGGCATGGATGATAACGGCAGAGAGAGATGAGTTGGGGATGTAGAAGAAAACAGCAGGGAGGGCATAAATGGCAAGGAGGACAACCATAGCAGTGAAGACACCGCCGAACGGAGTTTTAATTCCAGCCTTCGAGGAGATAGCGGTACGGGAGAAAGAACCAGTAACCGGGTATCCTCCGAGGAATGGGCCAAGCATATTGGTGGCACCAATGGAGACGAATTCTTGGGAGGGGTTAATGGTGTAGTTGTTAACACGGCCGAAAGACTTGGAGATAGCAATGTGCTCAAGCAACAAGACAATGACGGCAGCTGGAATCTCGCTAGCGAAAGTGCTCAAAACGCTAGAGTTAAGGACTGGAATACCGGCATTTTGGAACCCTATCAGGGACGTTAGTGTCATAGCAAATTTTACTATCTCTATCGGGCGATGTCTTACCTCGTGGAACAACACCCAAGATCTTGAAGACTGGGTCTTTTCGGTGGTTTCGGTTGACCAGGAAACTGATAAAGGTATAGAGGAGGATCACGAAGACTGCGCGAAGCGTAGAAGTGAAGAAATAAATCTTAGCCTTAGCAGGATAACGTTTGGCCATGAAGCCACATCCCCATCGAATAAGGTAAAGGAGGAAAAGGGCAGTGAGTCCCATGGCAGCATCGATCTGAATAGTCGGAAGGTGCTTGAGACTGCCAAGGATAACTTCATATGTCGTTCCTCGGTTGCTGAAGCCACTGAGACCGAGCAAAGCTGGCACTTGGCCAGTGGCAATGCTAAGGGCAGAACCAGTCATGAAGGCTGAGATAGCCGTAAGTGGAATAAAGTCAACAATCCAGCCGCATCGGATCAAACCAATGAAGGCGATGACACCACCAGCAACAACACCAATGGCAGAAGCAATAACCTCTGGAGGAATGTCAGGATGCTCAACCTTTGCCTTGTCGATGATATGGCCAACCAGGGTCGAAACGACGGCAACAGGCTATAACTTGTCAGCTGCAGCCTCCAAAAACATATCTAATAACTGGATATACTTACACCAATGGTAATATCCTTGGAAGTAGCAAAGAACCAGTAGATCAAGGGGCCCATGAATGAGGAGTACAGGCCAAACTGAACTGGAAGGGTAGCGAGTTTAGCATAGGCCATACCCTGAGGAACGACGACAACACCGACAGTCAAGCCTAGAGGTTCGTTAGTGATATATAGATTTTATACAGGGGCCTTTTTGTTGTGCACGTACCAGCAACAATGTCACCGACCAACCACTGGACGTTATATCTGGTAATCCAGCTAAGGAATGGGAACAGGCCGACCAGGTAGTTGACTATATCCTCGCCACTGGGGGTGATCTCGCGGAAGTAGTCCATCGTTGTCGGGTCCCGGTCGTAGTACATCTCTGCCGACTGGACGGAGAAGGTCGACTCGCCGCGGGTCACGGGGTCAGTTGGAACAGGGTATTCATCCTTGAGGCCGAGGACCTTCTTGACGCCCGCACCCAACTTCTGCATCTTCGTCTGATACTCGGGAGACTCGGAAGACGCCATTGTGAAGAACTGATTGATTGTTGTGGCAAGATGGTATAATAACGAGAAGCTGGACCTGCAGCTGGTTTCGTTTATCCTGATATTTCGCTTTCTCGGGGAGGGTTTGTTGAGAGGGCAGGAAGAGCCAAAGTGGTTAAACGTTTCGAACGAGAACCTCTCTCAAAGCAAGAGACGATATCAAATGCTCTGATTTGTGAAAAGTGGAAAGAGGTAGAGCTACCGGGCTCAATGATCAACGAGATGATCTTCTTGAAATGGCGAAAGGTTTAACGGGTACCCATTATCAGGTTGAGACTAGATGCTATGCCAACAACTGAAAAGGACCTGGGGAAGCTGCTACTGTTCAGGCCGAATTCCTTTGATGGACAGCAACCGTGCCAGCTCGCTGACGATGGGAGTGAAGAAGAGGTATGAGAAGAGAAGGGGAGAAGGGAAGAGGAGCCTAGAGGAGGATTGAAACAGAGGAGGACTCGACCATATTTATGAACTTCTTGCTACGGCCGTCGACCCGGGAAGTGAATTTAAGTTATAGATCGATGAGGAAGAGGTTTTGCCTAGCGGAGAAGTCACGCAATCAATGGGAAACGGGCCAGACAAGGACAGTGCAAGGGAGTGGAGAACCATGGGCCACGGAAACCCAGGGAGACAGTCCACAGTTTCCGCCTTTGACCGTACAGCGAAACATGGTCGAAGGCTTCCAGGCGAGAGCGTCGAGGAGAAGAAAGTGTCGCCGCAGTCATCAGGATGGTGGATCACACAGCTGCGCCTGTTGCTTCCCTCAATTTGCAAAAATGGGAGGGATGAGACTAAGTGGAGGAAGGGGGGTCACTAGCATCTGCAAAAATGGTCTGGCTGCCATCAACTATACTTGTACATGCCGTCCTAGGCCGGAGGGATAGGCAACAAGCTTAATTTCCAGCCATAACCGCTACAAGGATGAATAGACACAGAGTGCCCGTCTCTCACCCAAAAGGGCTGGAGCAGTTGCAGGGTGGTAATAGTTAGGCGGAAGGGAATATCAAAGATAAAAATAAAGAAAAAAACCCAAAAAAACAAAATCTGAACACGAAGGTAACGAGTTATCCTGCCCTTCTAACGGTCCTGAGTTGAGAAATATATGTTTAGAGACTATGGAGGCTCGTTGCACCAAGCATTTCCACAACGATCGATATTCCCCTTCCAAGAAGAGCTTGATATCGCCCAGATATCGGCGCCGAGTGAGCAGTTCGTCTGCTCAACGCCCACAAGGCGACGATAAGGAGCGCTACTTGATATCAAGCGTCTCGTCGACGTCTTGTCCAAATGAAGATTATCAGCCAGCGTTGTACGCCAAGGAAGGTTAACTCGAGGTCTCCCAAGACGCCAGAAAAATGGCATCATACCGGATTCGACAAGCTTCTTTTGCTGTTCTTCGTGTGGCCGGCTTGCGAGCCTCTTTTTGCTACTTCTGTGTCTCTTCCACCCCCGTGTACGCAAAGCATATATACGGCTTGTCTTGAGTCAAGCAGGGCTCCGGAGGCGAATTTCTCCCGTGGCCCCGATCCAGTTAGTATTCTTCAAGGGGAGACTTGTGAATGCTGGTAAGGGATCCACCAAATACGATGAGGATAACTATACGATCAGACCTCCCGTTGGTATGGGCGGTCTGAAGATATCGAGAGCGCAAGATGCGAAAGAAGAAAGGGCAAAAGAAAAGAAATATCGCAGGCGAGAAGGATGGGGTTTGACAGCCACTTCCCCCAACCCCGTACGAGCTCATCCGCCAGCTATTACGACATCGTACAGATGATGCGTGAGGTTGCTAACCTACCTACGAAGTACTGGTCACGTAGCAACGGGGGTGTCTGGATGAATGGATGGGCAACAGAAGTAATTGCTTCGACCAGCTCAGAGCAGGTTGTCGAGGCTTTTCTGATACACATGACTAATTTTTCAGCTCTCCGGAGAAAGTATCCTGATAACTCACTACTCTCACAGCGCGGTTCGACAAATATAGTGATGTTTCGCGACCTTGTGGCAATCTCGTGTATGGGATGGGCTGAAAATGATACTCCTGGACAACAACACCAACTCAGACAGGGCAGATCTCAACAGGGGCCTCAGAGATAAGAATTTGCAGGGCTTAGAAAGGAGTTCTTGGCACGGTTATGGGGGGACTGCTCCGTATTCCTATTTCTCCCTCCCATGGCCCATATTGCTTTTTTATATGCATAAGATAAGTGATATATGGAGAATCCTGGAGCAGGCAGGGGGTCTTGCAACGAGGCTAATGGGTTAAGCTGCCTGGCTGCCGTACTAGCGGTTAGAAAGGTTGCAAGAGAAGGAGGCAGATCAGGGTCGACCCGGCCGTTTCACGATACGCCAACACCTTCCCTCCTCTAGCGGACCGAAACACAGCCCTCACGCAGCACTCTACACGGTATATACGGGCAAGTCGGCCAGCAGTCGGCATCAACCAGCGGGTTATCATGTGACCTGTCTTCCCTGAATTCCGAGGAAGGAGAAAAGAAGAAAACAGATGAGATGAAGCGAAGAGCAAATGGAGCTGGCTGGCTGCAGAACCTGGCTTTATCACCTAGTCACCTTGCTGGCTGGAAAAGGAGACGCTGTGCTCTGGTTCCATCAACATTCATGTTGTCTCTCGCCTAGCAAGCACACTAGTCGAGAGGCCGCCGCCGCCACCGTCTCACACGATGAAGCTGCTGCTTGGAGCAGCACAATCAAAGAAGTGCCTCGCTGATGCTGCTGCAGACGTAACCTGCCATTTGGCATGTTGGGCAGGGGAAAGGGAAAGTCGGCACCAGGCATCCCTCCTTGGTCACCATGCCGCGTTCTGCGCTGTCTGGAATTAATTGCCAGAGTTGCCATTACTTAACTCGAGAAAGTGTCTGATCTGGATTCCCTGTCTGATCAGCCCGGCGGACATAGACTGTCTAAAGCTCGACCGGTCATCCTCTGGCCCGGACGGTTTGCTGCTGGAAGGGAAACCGTTCCATTCTCAAATTATTCAGCCAACACACTGCACGGCTGATGGCCGAGATATGATGCACAAGAAACGAGATCTCCACAACACGAACCCCTACCCCAGCGTTTGGTACTCTTTCGCCCATGGCAGACAGGGATGTTCAACAAGGTTGTTCTGTCACAAATGCTGTATCGTATCTTCCCGTCTTGAAACAACTGCCGACATATCTTGATAGCATGTCACTGTCAACACGTCTCAAAAAACACGAAAGAATACCTAACACGAGTAACTACCCTGGCACACTCTCAAGGGTTAGAGACAAGATTTTTTTGATACATGGAACAATCCATCCCTTGTCCCTTGGCCGGTTATCATCGACGCCCAGGATTGAGAGAAAGCATAAAATGCTTGAATCACAACAACGTAATACAGCATTCAGGCCCGAGTTTTAGATGCACTGCACAACGGTGTAGTACTTACGGCTGTCCGATAGTGGCCGCCTGCCTACCGAAACCGGCATAACCTGGCTACCTTGGTCGATATACGGAGTATACATGTTCATAGAAAGTTTCACGGAGTACCTGGAAGAAGATCTGGCTCAATGCTGGTTCATCATCAGTTCATCACCGTCCTATCGGTGGAACGTGCCTCTCACTCTCCTTTTCTCCACATCATTCAAATGCCTGCCTGGAACATTGACTCATGGTGAACCCTTTAGCAAAGGAAGATTGATTCACTCTTTCCTGGATAATATTCAGACGGGACCCATTTCACTCTTTTCAGCCGAGCCATCGGATAGGACGGAATAGCCTGTTTGAAATTTCATTCTCTGGGAAAAGCAGCTGCGGCTACAGCATGACTTGGAATCAATTTTTGGTCAAAGGTAGCCATGGCCACCTAGCCACCTAGGCATTCTATAATGATGCATCGATGCACATGTCTGCAGTATCGCGATTGAAATGGTCCCACCAAATTTCTTCGTATCGCGATGCTGCATCGCTAAAGAGGTTACATCTTATCCCAGCATAATTGCTCAACCAAGCCCTTGCTTGCCACTCACAGGGCTCTAAGGACCCAGGAATCTTACATGAAGGCCCCTCAGTACCAAGCCCGAAATATATATAGATCAAAGAGTGTGCGTGCCATGGAAGGGACGGGGAGGGACAGGGCAAAAGTGGTAAAGGACATGGTGAACCCCTATATGAGGTTGCTACTGCATGAATAATAGCTGATGGTGCCTGCTCGACGGTTCCACGAAACAGGAAAACTATCTTATGGCTGCATGAAGTCAGAATAGACTCATGCGGATAACGATACTGTGATTAAAATTCTTGCGTAATCAACATGCAGTAATCTGCTAGACTGATTTGGCAATCGAACTCGCTCCGTGATAGTGCAGAATGAAGACACCGACGATTGCTCCAGATGTGTTAATTGAGATGGTGACAAGTCAAGAGTCCATATTACGGAGCGAAATAAACCAAAGCAGCCGATTGAAACGGGAAGTAAAACACCGCGGTGGAAACGGTTTAAACACCCGTATAATTCGGGCCACGGTCGTCCCGAACACGCCTCGCAGCCCTGGCGGCGGTTTTATTCTCTGCACAAGAAAAATAGTCTATGTTTGGGCCAACCAGCCCCAATCGAAATCTATCTTTATACACCTTAAATCGTGACTTCAGGAGTGACACTGCAGCAACGATAAAAGGGGTGGATAGTAACACGGAGCAATGTTCTAGACACTGAAAAGGCATACAGTAGCGGTAACACCGCCGCAATGCAATAAAGGTCGACATCAAAGGGAAATTGTCTAATTTTATTCGGCCTTGCAGCTATAATGTCCGGCAGATATCTGGTCTCGTCGGGCATCCCCATCCCTCGCTCAACGTGCAATGATAACTTGTTCTAGAATTTTGCACTCGAATCACTCTTTGCTTTTTCCCTTCTCATCTAGAGGATACTCCGTCGCAGGGAGAGCCAGTTACGGAGTATGACAAAACACGATCTGCGCCCGGCCAAGCAAAATGTCTTTCTGACACGGGTGGACCAGATCCTCTGGGTCCTCCAGCTATATTAGCTCAACTTAATTTCTCCCATGCAACGCTGATATTACTCCAGTATATCAATCGCAATGTTATGATATGCCTGGAACACGGAGATACTCATTCTTCCAGGATCCATGGGCTGAGGCCGAGGCCCGGACAAACAGCTGGATGAGGCGGGAGGATGCGGATGCGCAAACATCTCGTTTGTTCACCCTTCCCTCCTCGACTAGACTTGACTGGAAAGCAATTCGTCACCTCGTTGCATCACACCAGTTGTGTCTGTTTTCTAAGTGAATGAATGACCTACTTGCATGGCCAACGAACGAATGTTGCACTGCGGCTGCAATTTGTTGTCTCAGTCTAATAATAATATGGCATGCTTTTCCCCCCCTACCCCCTGAGTATCTCACATCTCACCAACACTGCATTTATGATTGTTTCTCTAGACACCATATTGAGCAAACAATTTTCTACATCCCGTCTTGCCTGCCTTCGTGCAATTTAGTAATCAGTTAGGCAGTTGAACCACACCCTCCGCCGATTCCATGCTAACTGGCAAGACCGGCCACCTAGGGTCCCTTTAGCTAAATGAACACCGCATAAGTGGCCCCCAATTTTGCGAATAGTCACGAAAGAATTCGCTTGATAGCGCAGCATCTACGGAGTACTTGTGAATTTTCCCAGAATGAGGCATCCAAAGCAAAAATCTGGTCCTCGTATTACGCTTTTTTGCGTTCTTCGTTTTTCCTTCTTTCGGTTATCGCTTTGAGCATTTGGGCCTTTGAGGCGCCTTTGTCAAGACAAATACTGGACATGCTTGTACTCCGTACTCTTGCATGCAGAAAGAAGATCAATGCAAGTTTCCGGTTTCTGTTGAGGGCATTAGCAACGTCAAAATGGGCAGATCCCGAAAGGAAAGGAGATGCTGTTGTGCGCTCTGGCTTTAACAAATTATCGGTGAATTGATATATTTACTGTACACTGGCTGTGCGTTGTGTTCAGACAACTTGCGCTTCGCCTGATCAGTCGATCTTCGTGTGGCCCTCCAACGCCCACAGAGGTTGGACCTATCGTATTAATAAACGAGCAATGCATGCCACCCGCCCATGCCTACCATGTCCTTTCCTGGGCAGATCTACGGTAGCGAAGCCGCCGACCGCCATGTCCTCTCTGTGCCGTTGCGTGGCGGGTCGTCTGGAAAGAGGAAGATAGATGGGAATATCAGTATCCAATATCTCGGCGAAGGGGATTCCTTTGGGTCTCCAGCTCCTCGGAGTATTTCGTGTCCTACGGAGTATGTACATTCGTCACTACCCAGCCTGGTTTCTCTCGGACTTAGCACATTGTCCACGATATGATCGCCGGCTCGCTGTGGAAGTCCAAGCAACTGCCACGGGCAAACCTAAATCTGCCGAAAACTCTATTGCTCTGCCGGTACTGTTATAAGGTACGGGAATAGTTACGAGAGTATTGACAAGGCCAATGATGAATGACCAGGCAGACGTGGTTGAGCTGAGATATCAGAACTCATACGTAATGAACTCCTGCTCCTTCAGACATGGGGGCCTGGCCCCTGATAGCAAACGCCCTTTTGATTACAGGTATGTATATAATCGTCTGATATCCCATAAACAACGATCCTCTGGAACCTCTCGAGGGGATGTCACACGGCTCAGATACTGAGGGAGGCATCTCGCAGTTCATCCGAGGACGAGGACCACGCCGCCATTGACGGAGTACTCCTTACTTCCTGAAATTGATCCTTGGAAAGGTGGCCTCCAGCAGACTCACCTTGCTTTTTCCGCGAACTAAACCCAATCTTGGTTTGGGAGGAGATGTGCAACATCTCTTGGTCGGATAAGATTCTTTTTGCTGGGCCGACTTTATTTAAAATACGTCCTACCTATATTTAGTGTTTTCCTCGGGGAAAACTACCCGCCTATCATAGGTCGTACTAGCTGGTGCTTTGCCGCAGAATTCACGTGCCGGATGGAAGTCTTGCGTTCATTTTCTCTGGGGAAGAAGGAAGTCGCAATGTTGCTTTTTGATAGCTTGCGGACTGACCGTTCAAAGGGCCATACGGAAGCCAAACAGCTTGG